GTGCTCTGGTCCATGGGGTCACGAAGAGTAGGACACAACTAAACGACTAAACGAACAAACGAAACTCTAAAATAAGACCTAACCTGAAAATAAGCCCTAGTATGATTTTTCAGGATGCTCGTAATATAAGCCCTAAAAATAAGTCAGAAGCCTAACCCAAAAATAAGCCCCAGTCAAGTGAAACCCTGCCCTCCACCTTTGTGCAGCAACCAGAAGATTGCATGACTGTATTTAAATAAATGTAGATTGTTATACAGTGGTGCCTCACTTAACGATTGCTTCACTTAATGAGGAAATCGCTTGACGATTAGGTTTAAATGGGAAAAATCCACTTCACGGTGATCGGTTCCCTGCCTCAGGAACCGATTAGCGCATTACGACGATCTAAAACAGATAATCATCGGGTTTCAAATTGGCCGCCGGGTGTACAAAATGGTCCCCCGCTGTTTTCTAGGATGGATTCCTTGCTTTACAGGAAGCAAAAATGGAGGATCTTCGCTGGACGGTGAGTTTTCAGCCCATTGGAACACACTGAAGGGTTTTCAATGCGTTTCAATGGGCTTTTTTATTTCGCTTAACGAGGATTTCATTCTACAGCGATTTCGCTGGAACGGATTATCCTCGTTAAGCGAGGCCCCACTGTACATGGAAAAAAATAAAACTTTCCCTGAAAATAATCCGTAATGCTTTTTTGCGTAAAACTTAATATAAAACCCTGTCTTATTTTTGGAGAAACATGATATTAAAAATTTCAGTAAATTACATATTGTTTAGCAGCACTGTGAGCTTTGATAAAACAAATATAGAAATTAAATTGCCATATTTTTAACTTGACAATATGTAAACTAATAGCATAAACATATGCTTATTTTCTTAGAATTAAGGCTGATTTCTGACTAGAGTTGCTTAGGACTGTGCTGCACCTGTCCCTTAAAGTTTCACCTCTACATTAATGGTTTAGGACCTCAATACTTGTCAGAAAGGCTTTTCCAGAAATCAGCCACCTGTTTCAACTGCTTTTCTCTATCCATATATATATATAAAGAAGTGAAGAAACCACCGTTCCAGTTCCTATTGCAACTCCCAGGCCACCACAGACGGCTCTTTGCATCATAAGGCGAGGCGGGGCATCAGAGCACGGAAAAGCGTGATTCTCCCTCAGCACCTGAACTAGCCACAGGCTCCTCGCATCCCTCCCGCAGTCTGAGGAAAGGGGGCTCCAGCCCTCAACCAGCGCACGCGCCACTCCCAGAAAAATCCCCTCCCCCTCCCGCGCGGACAGGACTGCAAGACGCAAAGAGTTAAAGAGGGTCCTTTTCCTATAGGCGCCGCCTTTCTGTGACACCGCCTCGGCTCACGGACTCACCGAATCCCACGCCACAGCCTGTGAAGTGACGGGTTAAAGACGAAGCAGCTGCCCTCTGTGCCCTTCCCTCATTGCAGGCTTAAATTCTCGCGCGAGAAACCAGAGAGCCCCCCTCTTCTCCGGCCCTATTGGTTGCCTGGAGGATAAGCGGGCTTGCCTTCCGCGCAGGCGCGAGCACGCTTGTCGCTCGCGAAAAAAAAAAAAAAAAGGCTCTCAGCCCCGCCTTCTGGTTCTCATGTCATAGAGATAGGAAAAGTGCAGACGGATAAGCGAGTGTGTACTTCGACGCCAAAGCATCCAGTAGAAATACAAAACTTTCAAAACCCATGGGACACGATTCTCTGTGGTCACACATGAACCGGCCCCGTTGCATGCATATAGGGCTAAAACAACAAAAAGCAACAAAGTAATAGTTTTAGAAGAAATAATTTTAAGTTATAGCATGTTCATTGCAAATTCTACTGGCAAACACGTCAGATTTTTTTAAAACAGGCTTTTAATGTCTCTATAAACGCCTTCAGTTCTAAGTCTGAAATTTCAGAATAAGATGATTTGTCAATGACTTCTTACGGCGCAATTTAACACACATTTCTGGTTTCAGTGTCTTTAGTGAACAGCAAATGTGTGCACTGCAGCTTAGCCTGATTTAAAAAAACCTTGTGTGTGTTTGCTTTCTTTACGCTGAGTTCGCTCTGTTGTTTTTGTTTAGTTGGTTAGCTTCTGTCTTAAATTCTTAATAGTCCAATAAAGTTCTTGCATTTGTATTGTTTTGAGGATCATACGGCCTTGTCCTGATTTTTTTTTTCTGAGTTCAGTAGGGCAACTCCTCTCTGCATGTGGAGGCACAGGACTGGGTTCGCTCACAGGTGTTAACAGCTGCCCATTATTAAACTTATAGACAGTCAATGTTGCGTAGTGGGCAAAGGGACGAACTCAGGGTATCTGGTTTCGAACCCTCGCTCGGCCACGGAAATGCCTTTGGGGTGGCGCTGGTAAAACCACTCCAGAAATAAGTCACTTTAAAAGCTTATGAGGGTCGCTATAAGTCGATGCATACTTAACAGTAGAAAATAATTAAAATCGTCTAATGTTAACGATGCAATTATAATTGCCAGCACTCTCTGCTCATAATTTTCCTCTCACCACAGCTACCTACCACCCCACCACGTGCTCTCTATATACTGTATACAGATACTGTACTGGTACCTGAAATCGGGATTGCATCTATAACAGAGTGCTTTAGAACTCCGCCATGTTCTCTCTTTCTCAGCTCGCACCGCTCTACCCACTCCGACTCTATGGTGAGAGCCTTTACTACTTTGTGGTGCGCGCTCGATTGGGAACGTTGTTCAATGGGAGGCTGGGGGACGCGGGAAGTGCCTCAGAGGGTTGGGACTCTATGGCGGCTTCGGTGTCGCATAGAGATGCCGTCATCGCCAGCTGCTGGAGCGGGAAAGTTCGGACGCTGAAGAGAGAAAGTGACCTGGGCGCGCGTCGCTTTGGCACCGCTTGAGGGCGAGTCGCTTGCTTTTGGTAAAACGGCCACGGAGGGAAGGTGAGCGGAGCATAAAGCGTTGTACCTGCTTGGCTAGGGACGGTCGCTTGCCTGTCTGATATAGAGAGCGCCTTTCTCTCGGTCCCGCCACCTTTACAGGTGCGTCTCATAGGGACACGGAAAAGGGCTTTCTCTGTCGCCGCCCCCAGACTGTGGAACTCCCTCCCACTGGAGTCCAGGCTGGCCCCCATCTTTTCTGTCCCTCCGCAAGCAGACGAAGGCCTTTCTCTTCAGGCAGTCTTTCCTTTAATGGCTGGCAGCCTGAGTGGGGTTTTTAAAATGGGTTGTTGTGCCTTACTCCCTGAATATGTTTTTATGATTATTAGGTTTTGTATTCATTGAATCTTTTAGCATTGTATACTCATTCTTACTAACTTAAATATTGTGTTTTAATTGTTGTAAGCCACCTTGGGAGCTTTTTAAAAATATATTGAATAAGCAATTAATAAATATATTTGCAAGACTCCCTCATCCAGTTGAGACTTGGTGAGTTGGAGGAAAAAACCTGGCCATGGGGGTTGCCTCTTTCTCCTTTTTGTGGTAAAAACATTTGGAGCTGGATGAGGGGGATCAAAATTCAAAGTCTTCCTCAGATGCCCGTCTCACTAATAAACCAGCAGTCAGTGGTTTTTTCTTAGCCAAGGCTCTCTACCAAGGATGTTGGGAGGATAAAATGAGGGAGAAGGAGAGGTTCTTTGAAGAGAAGGTATAAATGTAATAATGTGCAAGTAATGTGGGCATACATTGCAGCCAGTTTATTTCCTGGCGTTACAAGGGTTGTGGCATAAAGGTAGCAGAAATGGTAAAGAGTTGGAACACTTTTGAAGGACCAAAGTTTCCTGGTTGTTTACAGAAAGAGCAGGATAAACATTAGAATCGGAAAAGTAGGTTGGATGTGCCAACTTTTAAGTGGGCTTAACAGCAACCAGACATGTAGAAATTTTAGCAAACAACCCCCCAACAATGTTTAGCAAACCTTTATTTGCTTACACATGTTAAGTTTCTGTGTAGAACTACGAGGAAAAGTGGCAAGATGAGATGATACAATTTGGTACTCTCTTAATATGCTTACTAAGTGCTGTTATCTGAGTAGCCTGGTTTTAATTGGGGGTGGGGGGAGAACTATTGCATCTCATATCATGCTTGTGCCATTGGAGCTGTGACTTTCCCCTCACCCTATTGTTTTTGAAGGTTATTGGCTTCTTAGTATTTTTTAAAAAAAATTTGGTAGCTGGTTGGCTATTAACAAAGGGACATGACGGCGCTTGGGCTAAACCGCAGAAGCCTGTGCTGCAGGGTCAGAAGACCAAGCAGTCGTAAGATCGAATCCACGTGACGGAGTGAGTGCCCTCCCGTCACTTGTCCCAGCTCCCGCCAACCTAGCAGTTCGAAAGCATGCAAATGCAAGTAAATCAATAGGGACCACCTCGGTGGGAAGTTAACAGCGTTCCGTGTCTAAGTCACACTGGCCATGTGACCATGGAAGATTGTCTTCAGTCAAAACGCTGGCTCTATGGCTTGGAAACGGGGATGAGTCGAACATGAGTGGACAAAAAATTGTCAAGGGGAAATGCAAGCTGCATTTCTGTTGCAGAAGAAGATTGGGGTATAGATTCTGTACCTGTTCTACCTCCTGTTCAAGTAGAGACTTGTAAGTATAGATTCTGTACCTGTTCTACCTCCTGTACTGTACTGCAGATACCAAGTTCTGGGTTAGACAGTACCTTTATTGAAGCACTTTACTGTTAAAGATAAGGCAAGCTTTCAAGTTCTGCACAACTGTTTATAAGGCAAAGACAGTTTAAAATTTCTGTGCATTATGGAAATGTGTGAGAACTCAAGTGCTCGCTTTCTTTACAATTTTCTAGTGGTCCAATAAAGGTATTGTCTAACCCAGAATTTTGCTTGGACGAATTGATGACACAGCTATTTTTTTATATCTGCCTAAATATACATGGATTGCATAAATAGTCTCTGTATTGGATAAATTTGGTTAATTGCTTTTAAATAGAAATGCAACTTGCCAGACATATACAGTGGTTGACATTTATACAAAATTTGCTTTTAAACAAAACAATTATTATGTCTTTTTTATTTTTTATTTTTATTTTGTTTCCACCTACAGTATAAGGCTTGCACAGACCAACATGGCTTCTACAACTGCTTTAAAATAGAGAAGTAACTTGTCCAATATTGTATATATTTGGCAGGTTACATTTCTTTTAAAAGCAATTATCCAGATTTTAAAATTACAGTTGTAGAATTAATTTAATTTAGAGATTAATCCACTTACAGTATTTTTTAATAGTTGTTTATTGAAAGAAATATTGAGTCTTTAATACAAGTGAGACACCTTGTGGTACCTCTTTGTAATTGCCGATTTTGAAAAAAGCCCAAGCTGTATGTTTTTAAAATTACCTGTACAGTAGCCACCTAGAGTGGTCGAAATGACTAGATAGGCGGGGTATAAATACAATAAATAAAATGAATAAATAGTTGTTTGTCATTGATATTGCTGTTAAAGAATTCTTCTGCTTAGTTACCCAAATGGCATTCCTTACTAGGGACACAGTCCATAAAAATAATAAAAGTGGCACTGAAGAGACAAGCATAGGTTTCACTTGCCTTGGAATAAATCCTGGTCTCACTAGGAAATGTCTCAGTTAACAGGCGTAGTATTGTGCTGTGAATTGATTTGATCTTTAGAAAGTTAAAATTGATATGAAACTAATTATTTAAATATAGGATGTACGTGGCTGCCTGGATCTCGGGTGTTAAGGACAGTTTAAAGTTAGTTCTTGATGATTGGTTGTGTTCCTTTCCAGCTCTGTTGTTCTAAGATTATGATTTAAATAGATCTTTTCCCTCCCCACAGGAAGTATGGAATTTGAAAGCACAACAGTAGTATAATATTATTTCACCAACGTGATGGCTTGTCAGGAGTTTACTGTGAGTTTACTTTTAACTTAATATTTCAGATTCTTTAATACATATTAGAACAATCATAGATTACCAATATTAATATTGCATCCATGTGGAAAATGTTAATTAAAATATTTGTTTCTTTATATCACAATAGGTTTTATACACACATCAGAAGACTAAAAAATCCAAAGTATGGCAAGATGGTATTTTGAAGGCCACTGTTGGGGGGAATAAGGTAAAATATTTAAGTTGTCCAGTTTTATACTGACAGGATCTATGACAGTTACTGTTGTTTAAACTTCAAGAACATTAGGTTCACTGGACAAATCCAGAGTTGTAAAAAACAATGCTTTTATACTTCCCACCTATATGACCAGTATAACAGCACTTAAATCTAGAAGAGCTCCTTAGCCAGATTTAATGTGTTGCCTTATAATCTCCTGGAAGGAAGATTTCAAGGCAAACTCTATTCTGATCTTTTATGTCCTTGCGATGGTGGTGAAGTAAAAACAGTTGGGCATGTCCTCTTATACTGTCATTTCTATCAAGATCTTCTCCCCTCTTTTTCAAAAATTTCTGGGGAGATACAACAAATTTTATATTCTTTTGCTACTCTCCAGTAAATTTTATTACATTGCTAATAAAGTGGCCAAATACTGTGCTGCTATAATAGCTTGCTGCAGCCTCCTGACCACGTAAGGTCTTTGAGTGCTCCTGTCCTTGTTAGAGATGTTTTGTTTAAATTACTTTCTAGGAGAGTTGGGGTGCCATACTGATGGCTATAGGTGTCTCCTAATCTCAACCTATATCATGTGACTTCTGTGATGTTTTAAAAGCTTTTATATCCTTCCATGCTGCTGGCTAACTCAGAGCATAATTTTAACTTGAATGTCATAAAAGAGCCAGAGGGTGTGTTGATGGTGTCATGTCATGTCTTGACCAATGTTTGATATTAAGTGCAAGTAATGTGGGCATACATTGCAGCCAGTTTATTTCCCTAAATGTATTTTTATCTTATTATTTATTTATTTATTATTGGATTTATATCTGGCCCATCTAGACAAACAAAAGTCTTATTAGGGCAGCTCACAACATCAAACAAATAAAAACAACAATTAAAAACTACAATAATCAATAATAATATGATCAAGATGGGAGAATAAATAACAAAAACAAGAAAATACAATCAAGAATTGGTGGGAGGGAAGGCTTGCCTAAAGAGCCAAGTTTTTAATTGACTGTTAAAGACACCCAGCGTGGGTGCCAGGCAAATCTCTGGTGGCAAGCTGTTCCAAAGTCGAGGGGCCACCGCCGAGAAAGCCCGATTTCTTGTTCTTTCTTTTTGGGCCTTTCTCGCCGTCAGGCTAAGCCCGATTTCTTGTTCTTTCTTTTTGGGACTTTCTCGGCGTCAGGCCCCTCAGCTATCTTTCCTGGCTCTGGCGAGTGACTTAAGTAGATCTAGGTGAGAAAAGGTGTTCTTCCTGGTCACTGACCATAATATGTTGTTGTTATGTTTGATTAAATATCTGTAATTAATTCTTTTGTTGCTTAATGCAGGCAGTCTTATTTGATGAGAAAGGACAGATTTTGGATAATATTTTTGTGAAGTTTCAGGTACATACATTCTTTTCCTTACTGTGTATATTATTTGGTAAGTTGTTTTAGACAGTGGGTTATCTGCTGATTTAAATTTTTCTCTGCTAATTTATCCTGGCTGCATTTGCCTAGTCTTTGTACACATTTCAGTCCATTTTGAATCATATCTGGCTTTAATTGCCTCATCTCATGTATAAAACTAAACTTCACAAATTCATAAGCATGCATGCAATATTCATGTAAGAATAGGCTAAAATATATTGATACCCTCTGGCTCAGAAGTGTGATCCAAGGACAAACATGTACAAAAAAAGTTAATGTATGACAATATTGTCTGAAATCAGCATGCTATGCCTGTGATGGTCAGGCTGTACAATTTGTGAACAAGAACAGAATAACAGGAATTCTTTATTTGCCAGCTAGGAATGTACTGAAAGTTAAGAATATTTTTTAAGCCAACCAACAGGATTTCAAACATGGAATCGTAACTGAAATATATATTGCATGAAAAATAAATTGTGGAAGTCATATAATTTGCATAAAAGTTTAGATTCATTTGTTTACATAAACTTACCACCACATTTCTATTTCCCCACCTAGATAAAACCTGGAGATGACTTAGAATGTGAACGATATTTAATCACGATAGAAGGTGAAAAGGTTTCTGGAATGGGTTCTAGTGATCAGCAGAAGGTCACGGAAAGAGAAGTATTAAGAAGAAATAATTTAAAGTCCTTTGCATCTTCATCCTTCCACCAGCCAGTTGGTCTAAAGCGAAAATATACAGTATGTTATTCTCTCTCTCTCTTTTAATTCCTTTAAATAGCTTAAATAATTGAAATGCAAAAATAATGTAAGCAATTTAACATAAAAAAGCAGAAAGGCCTGAAGTCTCTTTGGTGAAAACCAAGCTGTAATCTTTAATCCTAAAAGTTTGGTTTCAATTTAGTGCCAAAATTAGGCTAAAGTTGGCATTAGCTGGGTTTCCACAGAGAATGGATTCCACAACAAAGACCTTCTCTGCATCGCCACTGTTCCCAGCATATTTTAATATTCATGAAAGTATATACAGCAAGATGCTTTCCTTCAAGTCTAAGACATTTAGAAATTTGAATAAGAACATAAGGGCCCTGCTGAATCACGCCAAGGACCCATCTAGTCTAGCTTCCTGTATCTCAGAGTGGCCCCACCAGATGCCTCTGGGAGCATACGAGACCACTAGTTAGCTGTCTCCTGATACCCCTCCCCTGCATCTGGCATTTTGAGGTACAGTGGTGCCTCGTATTACGAGTGCACCGTATAACGACGAATCCGCATAGCGATCCCTTTTCCGGGATCGCTAATGCGGAGGCATAGCATCGGCCCCAATGGGCAAAACTCGCTTACCGATGTTCCATGTGGGGGGCCCGTTGGAAGGAGCCGCCGCCGCCGAGAGAGTGATGAGGGCCGTGCTGGCCGGGGAGAAAAGCAGGCGGCGAGACAGGCAGGCGGAGGGAGGGAAGTGGCGCGCGCTCATGCGTCCGCCCCCTTCTTCGTCCTCCTCCCCCCACACTTTCCCTCCTCCTCCTCCCTCTTCTGCCGCCGCTGAGGAGGAACGCAGGCAGGCAGGCAGATGGAGGAAAGGAAGTGGCGCGCGCTCGTGCCTCCGTCCCCCTTCTTCATCCTCCTCCCCCACACTTTCCCTCTTCCTCCTCCTCCCTCTTCTGCCGCCGCTGAGGAGGAACGCAGGCAGGCAGGCAGATGGAGGAAAGGAAGTGGCGCGCGCTCGTGCGTCCGCCCCCCTTCTTCCTCCTCCTCCCTCTTCTGCCGCCGCTGAGGAGGAACGCAGGCAGGCAGGCAGATGGAGGAAAGGAAGTGGCGCGCGCTGGTGTGTCCACCCCCCTTTCCCTCTTCCTCCTCTTCCTCTTGCCCTTGGGCGATCGGCTGTTGCCGGACGCCCGAAATGGCCGCACGCGTTTTCGCGCCCTTCCCTCGCTTACCGAGGGCGCGAAAATGGCTGCCGGACCCCGGGAGCATCGCTGAACGGTGAGCTTTGGGCCGATTTGGGATGCATTAAACGATGTTTAATGCGTTCCAATGGCTTTTTTTGTCCCGTTCAGTGATGTTTCGCTATAGCAAAGGTTAATCCGAAACGGATTACCCTCGCTATGCGAGGCACCACTGTACCTTCCTTTTAAGCCTGGAGGTTATACATTTCCATCATGGCTTGTAACCTGCAATGGACTTTTCCTCCAGGAATCTGCCCCGTCCCCTTTTAAAGGCATCTTGGCCAGATGCCATCACCACATCATGTGGAAAGGAGTTCCACAGACTAACACCACGAATGTAGAATATAGTAGTACACAACCGTACTTCTTAAGACTGAAAGTTTCCTGAATATGGCAATTATAATATTGTTCTTTTAGGGTTTCAGAGTGCCACGTCAGATGCCAAAGAAAATGATAATGGAGGAATCTAGCTCAGTAGTATCTCCAACGCCTGAGGATATTCATTCAGTCTTTCCTTCTCAGTTCTACAATTCCTGCCCATTATTTTCTGCTCCTTGCAAGAAGAAGGAGAACGTTTGCCAACTTCCAATCATTGAGGATGTTTGTATGAAGAAAACTGATTCTGTCCCTGTACTGGCTTCCATTCCTTATGCTGATGAATATAAAGTGGTACAAAGGGAAGCCCATAGTACTAATAGTGCAGATGATACATGTCTGAAGCTTGAATTTCATGTGGATGATGGAAGAATCAGTTCAGACTGCCAGAAAAGTACTGATAAAGCAGTCTCACAGAATGTCAGGAGTAAAGCTCAGATTTTAGCACTTCTGAGCAAGGAGCATAAGGATTTCAATACCTCACCAGTGGGAAATACTGTTTCAGTGAAAAATCTAGCACTGGCATCAGTGAAGTTAGACTCTCATCAGGAAGGTCTGTCTTTATCTGAGCCACCAAGAACTACAGACTCTTTGTTAAGAGAGAAGACAAAATGTCTGTTAGGATCCACAAACAACACTATCCAAGAGAACACAGAATATAGTAAGTTATTTTTCTCCTCAAAAAGAAATGTTCAAACAAAAAGCCAGTGGGATGCATACTTGTCCTCATGTTTCGCTGAAGAGTCTTCTAACATAGATGATGCAGAAAACAAGAATGCTAGTGATTTGCAGGCAGTTTTGAAAGACAAAGAGAACAACACCATTAGAAGTCAGCAAAATAAAAATCAGAGAACAATTCCCCAAGTATCTTCTTTGGAAATCAATATGTCTCCTATTAGTAAACACTCTGTCAAACACCAACAACATAGCTTCATATCACCTGACTCCATTAACAATAAAAATAGTGACACTGAAATTACATCATCTTTTGATCATATTAATTATTTAGACTGTATTAGTGCCTCAAAAATATTAGAAGATGAACTCTCCAAATCCAGTAAACATATGATGTGTGATAATTTGGCAAAGTCTGGCAATGAGTCACCAAATGAATCTTATCCAGTTGGTTCTCAGTGTTTTTCAAATGCCTCTGTGTGTGGAGACCTGGGTGACCCAAATAAGCAGTTAACAGAGGTTAACTTCAATCTATTGGAGACAGTAGATTTGAGTGACACAGAGGATGAAGAGTTTCATGTAAGTAACATGCTTTCACAAGGCTCAAAATCTTTTGAAGAGGACACTGGAATACAACTTGAGGTCAGTGTTGAAACGAACCATAATGCAAAAATATATAATAATGGGAAGAAAGATAATGTGCAGCCAGCATCTCAACAGGACAGAGATATGAATTACTTTTCAAGATCTCAGCCTTTGCAGCTTTGTGATGAATTCCCTGAAAAGTCTAATAAAATGGAGAATGGTTCAGTTCTTCCTTTCATAAAAGAGTTACAACATTCTCAAGCTTTAGCTGTCGGTGAGAAGGGAGATACAAATGCAGCAATTTATCAAAATGTATATGATGACAAAGCTGTTCTTTGTACAGGCTTGTTAAGAGAAGAAGATGTTTCCTGCAAAATGAATCGAAGAACTGATCTTACAAAAATGAGCATGCTTCCACATGTTTCTCATACTTCAAGCATTTGCTTTGTGGCTAAAAATAATGAGAAAGACATGGAGATTCAAGAAGATGATAGTCAGCCTAGTTCTAGAGGTATCTGTGATAACATGAAATCAGTTAATCCACTGGCTATCAGTTCAGATGATGTCAGTTCTGATGGTGTCTCACAGTATGTTTCCCAAGAGTATTATTCTGTTCCTGCAGAAAATCATAAGTTGGATTTCAGGTCAAATAACTATTCTTTAAATTGCCAGACTTCAGATAAATTACAAATAGGTAAAAATAAACTGGCAGATTCAGTGAATATCTGCTCTTTTAACAAATCTGATGAAAATAAGAAAGATAATTTTGTTTGCATTAAACCTTCAGTTAATTCTTTAATCCATACTTCACTGACAGACGGTTTCAGACTGTTAAATTCATTGACAGAACATAGGACAGCCTTAGAAAGTCTACAAACAATTGAGGAAAGTACTGGCATTTTGCCTGAGAAAGAAAGGCGAAGAAAAAAGCTTGAGTCAGTTGGAACTGAAGGTTATTAGAGTATTATATTTTTGATTGTCTTCATTGGTTTACATAGTGCCTTTTTCTCCATATAGACATTGAAGACGTACTGCTGAGTGTCAAAAATTCAGTCTTAATAATAGTCTTCTCCATATACAAAACATTTCCATCAAATTTTCCAGGCAAAACTAAGACATTAGTGTATGTTTGACTTTACTATGTTAAATTTAAAACCCACAAACATTGCAAAACTTGTATAACTTCAATAAAACCTGGCTTATGTGTGGTTCAAGCTTGACTATACTAAAACAAGCCAGGTAACACTTGAAGATATTTGTGATAATAGTTGCATTTAGAACTTTGGAAGCCCATTTCAAACTCAGTGATGCCTCGCTTAACGATGATAATCCATTCCAGGAAAATTGCCATTAAGCGAAAATATCGTAATGCGAAAAAAACCCATTGAAATGCATTGAAACCCCTTCAATGCATTCCAATGGGGTCAAAACTCCGTCCAGCGAAGATCCTCCATAGGGCAGCCATTTTCGCTGCCTGTCTTGTGAGGAATCCATCCCAGAAAACAGCAGGGAGCCATTTTGTTTACCCAGTGGCCATTTTGAAACTGCCGATCAGCTGTTTAAAAACCATCATTTTGTGAAGAATCAGTTCCCGAAGCAGGGAACCAATCATCGCAAAGCAAAAAAAAAAACCCATTTAGACCATCATCTAGATCGGAATGCAGTTTCGTCGTAATGCGGGGCAATCGTAAAGCGAGGCACCACTGTACTGAAGATAAGCAATTCAAAAGGGAAGTATTGCAGTGATTCAGTTGTAATGGAATACAGTAGCTAAAACCAGCCATAAAGCAGTTGCATGGAGCAAACGAAAGGCATCCATATATACAAATGCAAAGTTACTTTAAACTCTCTCATTATTTTCTTGTAGTCAAAAAACACAGGCATCCACACTGATCCTTACAAAGATATTTGGTAACCTGTTCTGCATCTGTAATGTATTCAGCCTGTGCTTAAATCTGATTGTGAACATTATAATAAATGCAATTCTGTGCATATTTTCATGAAAAGTCCACTGTATGGAACAGAGCTTATGTCTTCATAGGTTCATGGTTGCCGCCTTAATAGCTCATGGTGTGACTATGACTTCATCTTTTTGCATATTCTATTGTCATTCTGTTTGCAGCAAGCCCACTCTATTACAAACCGACCTAATTTTAAAAGTTCTCTTTTTGAGATCCCCAGAATACTCTCTCTCCTTTTTTTCTTTTTCTTTTTTTCTTTTTTGCTTTCAAGTAACCTAGTGGATTTAACCCTCATGCATTGGAAAGGGAATGTGTTAAGTAGATTTACCATCAAAGTGTTTTGTGGCGCTGTCAGCTGCAGATTTATTTGATACTTCAACTTTTTGCCACTTAACATTCAGTGTTTTTTTTTCTATAAGCAGAGGACTATTGGGCAAAAATATCCCAGCAAGGCTGTTGATTTTCATTACTGAGATAGATCTTTGTCCCAACCAAGGTAATGTATGAGAGAGGGGGTTCGAGAAGAGGAGATCTCATGCCATTTGGAGTGAATTATGATGCAGCAAAACAAAACAGGTGCTGCCAGTGAGTTGGCTCCATTTGGAGGAAATCAAGATATCTACTCTTGGGGAAACAATGGGATTCAGTGGGAGCCTCGTGGCGCAGTGGTAAAACCGCTGTACTGCAGCTAAAACTGTGCTCACGACCTGGGGTTCAAATCCCAGGTAGTCGGCTCTATCTAGGTTGACTCAGCCTTCTATCCTTCCAAGGTCAGTAAAATGAGTACCCAGCTTGCTTGGGGGGGGCAATGTGTAGCCTGCATAATTAAATTGTAAACCGCCCAGAGAGTGCTTGAAGCGCTATGGGGCGGTATACAGTATAAGCAGCACACTTTGCTTTTTTACAAGAAATGTTAACTTTATTCTACAGTATTCTATTTTTCCACTTTGCTTCTGACTAGATATTTGAGGTGGGCTACACTTGGTTCTGTACAGACACATGCTTTAGACATCAGAGTGTTCAAATGCTATAATATGCTGAAATTTTCATTGTGCTCAGAAAATACCTCACAACTCACACATTGCAAAGTTTTTAATCTCTATGTGGGGGACAAAGAGCAATGGACAGCAAACTAGTGCAACAACAGAACTGGGAAGTGCTAAGTGGCTAAGTAATATCCTGTTACAAGAACTTATTGATGAATCGACAAGGTAGAACTCAGCAAATTGATTGTTAAATCTAAGATGTCTTCCCAGTTCCAGAACATTTATTGGTAAGACATTTTCAGAAATGAAATTATCAGTTGAGCATTTCAAGGGAAATTTTAGCAGAATTTCCTTTGAAGCTGTACATCAAGTCTGATACCACAAAGCAAAGGAAAAGGCAAAATGCCAGTAATACTAGAATAAAGTGTAGCCTTTTGCCTAAGAATTATGAACTACAGAGGCCCATGTTTCAGATTTTACTTAAGATTGAAATTGCTAGTGGACCCTGTGAAAGGTGTTCTCATTTTATGCTCTTGCGCTTTAAAATAATGTCCTTGTTTAAATTAGTAGTTGAGGCTTCTTGTGCTTTTCTCTTCCTGTAGCTAAGCGGAGGTTTGCCAAAGTAACTTCTGAAGAGATGCAGACATCCTTTCTATATTCTGGTTCTCCGAAATTGGTAACCTTTCTTGACTTTGATAACTAATCAGTACAATAGTGGCATAAAACTAAATATGCTGCTGTGCAAACTGAAGATCCGTTCACTTGCTTGGGCTTTTCCTCCTGCCCCTGTCTGTGGCTCCCTGAAAACTGCTTCTCATATCTTAACTTAAGGGATCCGTCAAAGAAGGTTCAGTGGCTCTGGAGGGGAAATCTGCCATCCCCCACATGAGCCGAAGTGCCTTCTGCTTGTATAATGATGTCACTGAATCCAAGCCAATGCATATGGCTATTATAAAATTCTTTTTGGACACCTTATATCAGCAGTACTTACAATGTATCTATATATGCTAGGCCAGCATTATCCCATACTTGAGACAGACAATTCCTGGCAAGTGATTATTCCCAAGGAGATGAGTTGCCTTTTTACTCTTACATTAAATGCAACACAATCATTGGATACCTGAAAGACTCATATTATTTGATGGAAGCTTCTGGGAGCTGTAGTCCCTGAAAGCTTCTGCTAAATAAAACTGGTTAGTTTTTGAGGTACTCTACTTGGTTTTCACATTATGAGTAATACCCTGTTTCCCTGAAAATAAGACCTAACCTGAAAATAAGTCCTAGTATGATTTGTTAGGATGCTCGTGATATAAGCCCTACCCCCAAAATAAGCCCCAGTTAAGTGAAACCCCACTCTCCACCATTGTGCAGCAACCAGAAGAAGATGACATGACTGTGTTTGAATAAATGTAGACTGTTGTACATGAAAAAAATAAAACGTCCTCTGAAAATAAGCCCTAATGCATTTTTGGAGCAAAAATTAATATAAGACCCTATCTTATTTTTGGGGAAATACTATAGTTTTATAATAAATCTGGGTAGTCTTATAAATGCTTTCTGGGTAGCAGTATGTTTTATAAGCTGATCAGATGCCATTTACATGCCTTATGAAGATACATAGTACACACATTCTAGAGCTTCTGAATTGACTAATGCTATAGGTCTGTGTTTTACTCTAATGTATTACCAAAAAAAAAAAAATCAGAAAAAGAGGGGGAAATTGATGTGTATTTAGGAATGCCTGGCTTTGTCTGGGCTACTTTTAATAATAATAATTATTAAAAACTGTATTATAATTCATTATTAAAAGTAGGGATTTTTTGCAATTATTTTACACTCTTTCTATTTGCAGTGTGTTGTATGTGTCTTATATAGCAAAGGTAGATTTATAAGCATTGGTGCTTGTTAATGTGTTGAGCTACTGAACTGAGCAATAAATGTTTTTACTGGGGTTTCTTTAGAGATTAAGACAAAAGACATTTATTCTTTTTAGTATTTGATAAAGTATTGTGTGGCTATGTTAGCTAAACTGAAATGAAAGCAAGATTAAGTGATGTTTTGAACATTGCAATAACTGTTGGCTGAAAGCTTGTTGTCATAATTTACATGTAAGGTTGATTTTACTAAAAATTGCTTCCAGTAGGATAACTTTCTGGTTTTTAAAAACTGCCACAAGTGATGATGTCATCAGTCTTATGCAGCATAATCAACACAATAGGATTTTTAGCCATTATGTTTTAGTGAAAGGCTTGTGAGATCAGCATGCACATGATTTTGAAAAATTTGTTATATTGGAAAATGGCATGTTTTTCTATCATAGGTATGTTTTTCTGTCAAAACTAAATGCAGCATAGCTTTAAGGACACATTCTTCTCTTAATCTGTTTGTTTATTTGTTTCTAGAATTCTTCTTTAAGCAGTGATGTGGCCGAGCCCACAACAGCAACCATAAACAGGCTACATGACCACAGTGATTATAAAGAGCCTGATAGTCCACTAGAGGTAAATTCTACAAATAAATGATGTAGCAAAGCTAACAGCAAGGACCCTGCAAACAGCAAGAAGGGCTTGTATTTTTCCTTATGTGTTTGTAACATTTTTTCATCATCTATTTACATTATGGTGCAGTGGGGTCTCTACTTAAGAACTTAATCCGTTTTGGAAGGTGGTTCTCAAGTTGAAACGTTCTTAAGTTGAAGCAAAATTTCCCATAGGAATGGACTGAAAACCAATTAATCCGTTCTGGCTGTTTTTTTGTTATGTAGAGGTGCGTTCGTACATTGAAGCATTAGTTCCCATAGGAACTAATGCAAAGCTGGTTAATCTACCACTAGGGGGAGAATTTTTTTTTTAACCTAAGATGACCTAAGGTTAAAAAAAGAGCAGGAAAGGTTTTTTTTCCTGTTCTTATCTTGGATTTCTGTTCTCAAGTAGAAGCAAAATTTAGCAAATGAAGCTGTTCTTAAGTTGGATTGTTCTTAAGTAGAGACGTTCTTAAGTAGAGAACCCACTGTAAATGGATCTGCTGTTCAGAAAAAAACAAGTCTTACAGTATGCTAAGCTTCAACACAGATTTATATGAGCTGTTTGGATTCCAGTTAATTCTTGTATGAATAAAGATATCATCTTGTCTTCCTTCATCCCTGATGCAAAGACAATTTTACTGCATTATTCTTATATATACAGTGGTGCCTCGCTTAACGAGCGCACCGTATAACGACGAAATCGCATAGCAATCCGTTTTTTCGGATCGCTAATGCAATCGCTCAACGTTTTTTTAATAGGGCAAAATTCGCTTTGCGAAGACCGGTAAGCGTTTCGCTTACCGATCTTCGCAAAACGAAGCCCGACGATCAGCTGTTCGGCGGCCAAAATGGCCGCCGGAAGCCCGGAAATGGCCCAAAATGGCCGCGCGCAGCGTTTTCGCGCCCTCGTTAAGCGAGGGGAGGGCGCGAAAATGGCTGCCGGCCATTAAGAAGCATCGCTGAACGGTGAGTATTCGGCCTATTTGGAACGCATTAAACCATGTTTAATGCATTCCAATGGAATTCCCTGCCCCGTTCAACGATGCTTCAGTATAGCGAAGGTTAATCCGGAATGGATTAACTTCGCTATGCGAGGCACCACTGTACTACTATACTCCTAATTTTGAAAAAAAATTTCCCTAAAACATATTTCATGCTATAAAATTTGTCGTCCCCACCATACTGGTCTTTAATGACTACATTCACAGAATTACACTCTTCCAATGCAAGCAACCTTATATATTATTTCTCTCTTCATGTGGATGGTGAATTCAATTGCATCTTGCCATGGAGATGATAATTTTACAGTGTATTTACTGTAGGATTTGATTACAAAATCTGATCTCGATTTAAATTGGAACGTAAAGGTTTGCATACTAATCATTTGAGCATTGAGCATTTAGACTCAAGTGAAAATTCCATTTTATTTTAAGACAAAGACTGAATTCAGTAGCTAATTATTGATTATGAAGTTCAAGTAACAAAACACAACAAGAGCAGGTCTAATATGCTACCAAATACACTTTAGTCCTAATAAGTTAACTTTAAGATCTAATATGTTCCCCAAATGTTTGCTTTTCTTTCATAACTATTGTAACATTTTTGTATGAAACATAAAGGTATGCAGAATAATAATGTTTTAAAAAAAGAGACAACGAACAATATTTTAACCTTTATCATTCCAGAATATTACTCGTATAAACACTTGATTTCTGGAAGCATGTCATAATGTCAAGCTTCCAGATTTTGTGAAACAAGTGTCCTTTTATTTGTGTGTTTATTTATTTCAGCTTGAATTAATACCTGACCAATGTCCTGAAGACTGTGAGCCTACAGGTTCCAGTTGTCGGGTACGGAATGGAATTAATGGGAGCGTTCTCTAGATGTCAAGGGGAGATCCAACTACATCAGAACATCAACAGTGAAATAGGAGGGGAAAGCAAAAACAATAAATTTTCAATTAATATCAATCATATCTGTGTCCCTTCTTTCCAAAGATTCCTAGTTCTGCACTAGCCATGGGTGTGAAAACCTTGATCAAACCCTGGACTGATTTAGAAAGAGAACTGTATAAGGAAGGGGAAAGTTTTAAAGAAAATTATTGTTAAATAAGTTAAATTAATAAGTAAATCAAATTTTCTATGGAAGCTGAAGTTTTGTATTAGTTTGACCTAATACAGGCATACTAACATGTAGTTTGGGTTATGAGGAGCCCTGTTCAATTTTAAGTAGCTCTGGAGAGGGCTTGTGGGGATAGGAATGTGCATTCTTGAGGCTTGCTCACAATCTATTCACTGAAATAAGTAGAGCCAGTGTTCCTTTTGTACCACAACAGTGATTTCCAATGTGCCTTTAAAAAGAGCAAATAAGCTTGCTTTCATGTAACATCTTCCATCGTTCTTACATCTCTGGTTCCTTTAAATATTCAAAAATGTACAGCAAGTTGAATTTCATGGGTACCAGTTGAAAGGATCTGCAGCGAGTGAAACAATGACAAGAGAATCCAGCTTATGTGTTAGTTTGGAGCCCTCTATTGATATGGCCGAGTCTGAAATCACCGCAAAGGATTCTTCCTTTTCCTCAGCTCAAGAACTGAGCAGCCCTGTGCTGTCTGGTTTTTTTAAGGTAAATTGTGGAGACATTTCTTTTTAGACGGCTTTACTCTGTGATAATACTGTGAAAACATTAATGTAAAAAGAATCAAGACGAAATAGCTGGTTTGAAACACTATAGAAAAGGAACTTGTAATGTATTTGTGAAGGCTTTCACGGCTGGGATCTAATGGTTGGCGTCTTCAGAGGACTGGAGCATGGACAGAGTTCCTACTCCAGTCCTCTGAAGATGCTGGCCACAGAGACTGCCAAAACGTCAGGAAGAACAACCTTCAGAACACAGCCAAAGAGCCCAAAAAACCCACAACAACCATTAGAACTTGTAATGCTTCACATTTTTATACCATTGTAAGTTCATGTCAGGTTTTTGAGAAAAGATTCCTGATTTCTTTTCTGTTACGTTTTCCTGATGTATCAAACGTTTTCCAGACATATTGTATCAATTTTATAAATTAGATTCCATGTGCATTCATGGAATTCCCTTCCACTATGAAGAAGTAGTGGCACTACCTCTTGAATTCTTTCCGCAGGTGTTCAATTAAATCTTTACTCCCACACAAGTATACAAGTCTACGCACTTAGTGCTCAAGTCTAGGGAGGTTATCATGGCATGTGAAATAGACAAACTCACAAGGGTGCAATACCTAGATGCACTTACTTTTGCCCCCTTGAGAACTGCTTTCATAGAACTCCGCTTTCAAACCATGCCAACCGCTGTCTTAGATGGCAGGTACATGAATGTCCCTAAACATCTAAGGGTGTGCATCTGCGGAGCAGGTGAGATAGAGGATGTTCTCCATTATTTACTCTATTGTCAGCTATATCAGAACCCTCGAGAAAAGCTCCTGGGTAACATTCTGGCTGCTCTACAGGAGGAAACCCTCAGACAAAGGTGGTCAGGTTGCTCTTGGATTGTGACCCTTATGTTACGTATAGAACAGCGCTATTCGCAAAAGCGGCCAGAAACATCGGGCTAATTTTCTGAAAGCCATTGCGATCAATTGTGTGGGAGATTCTCAGATATGAGGGGTCTCTTATAATTTTATATGTCTGTGGTTTTATCATGATTTTAATTGTCCATATCTCTATTTTAAACAATTCTGACGGCTTTTAGCTAATACAATAAACTTGAACTTGACTTGAAGTACCCAGGAGTATGATGGCCCAACTCGATCTTAAGACAAACACATCTATATTTTTTGTGTTGGCATGACTGATATGAAACCTTTTTTCTTCCAAATTAAAACCATTAGGATCACAATTTGGTTATCTAAGAATCCAGCTTTAGTACAAGGGAAATTATTTAACAGGACATATAGATTCTGAGAGAGAAGGGGATGACAGAGGATGAGATGGCTGGACAGTCATTGAAGCTACCAACATGAATTTGACCCAACTCTGGGAGGCAGTGGAAGACAGGAAGGCCTGACGTGCTCTGATCCATGGGGTCATGAGTCGGAAACGACTAAACAACAACAATAGATTCTGTAACTTTGAATAAGAGTTTTAAATCTGGATAATGGGATTCTTTTTGTTTCCTTGAAGTTTTAGTCAAACTAATACTCAGAACTGATGTAAATGTTATTGTGTCTATAGAATGAGAAGAAAATTAATCTAACATTTTCTTTCCAGCCTCTAGGATTAAGTGATATTTCAGAACATGTGTCCAACATTTCAACTGTTAACAGGGAATTTGATTTAATTGAAGAGCAAGACAATGAGTTTTGTAAGTAATTAGAAATATGAACTCATTGTAAGCAAATTGTAACTTTGATCTGAGGTTTTGGTGTGTGTTTTCCTTCTTAACAGTTACATTCAGCGAGTCTTCTAATCTTTCAAACAAGATCATGACAAATTCTCCTTCTAATCTAATTTTGGATTTCACACCATGTGCTTCAAGGGAACTTAATAAGGTATGACTGAACAACTGACTTCCCCTTACTGTCAGTACTGTAGAGAATTGCCATGACATAACGAAGTGTCCCTTGTACTAGTAGTTGACAGCTTTTTCCTCCTATCAAGCACTATATTCTATCAGAAGAAGTTTGTCAGAGGCCATGTAGAAGTGGTGATTAATATCAGAGTCGGACCTTTTTCTGTCTTAAGACAATCACACTTCCCCCCACTTTCTCAGCTCTTAGGAAAGAAATGAGAGAGGAAGGCAATGTAAAATGCTGATGGTCATAAGAGAAAAACCGTGTGGGATGGTTATAGTCTTAAGATATGATCCCCTTTACTCATTCATAGGCACTCATATGAGCCTTCTGTCTTTCATTGTTTCTCATATCCCTTTACTTCCTTTCCTCCTCGTTCTCCTTTTGCAAGAATTGGAATGTCATGGATCTGTTTGTAATTTTGAGTTAAAAGCATGTTCACATAATTGGAGATTGGGAGAACATCATAGAAAAATTCTGATTTTTTCCACAAACTATGGAGATATGTGGTATAATCACTCCTAGTAGGGGTTGGGCCATTTTACTGCCCTTGGACCTTCTAAAAAAATGTAAAGAAAATAGCTAAAAAGAAGCAAGGCAACCAGAAGCTACTTGAAAGACAACAGGTTCCCTTTATGAGCCTTGCTGGACTTTAAAATCATCACAGGAAGGCTTTCTCTCCATCTTGCCACCTCACAAGTGCATTTGGTGAAGACTGGAAAGAGGGCCTTTTTTTATCGCTGCTCCCAAGGTGTGGAACACTCTTCCACTGGAGGTCAGGCTGGCCCCGTCTTTGCTGTCCTGCAGACAGTCAAATACTTTTCACTTCTGGCAAGCTTTTTCAAAACGACTGGCTGCCTAAGGGTTTGGCTGCTAAAGTATTTAGGTTTGCTTTGGTATTTTTTTTCTCTTCCCCTTTTTATATTGTTTGTTTATAATATTGTAAGCCACCTTACATTCCCTTGAGGAGAAAGGTATTTCAGGCATTAAATAAATAAATATTTATTTAGTTATTAAATTAAATAATTTATAAATTATTATTTAAACTAAATAAATACAGTGGGTTCTCTACTTAAGAACGTCTCTACTTAAGAACAATCCAACTTAAGAACAGCTCCATTTGCTAAATTTTGCTTCTACTTGAGAACAGAAATCCAAGATAAGAACAGGAAAAAAAACCTTTCCTGCTCTTTTTTTAACCTTAGGTCATCTTAGGTTAAAAAAAAATTCTCCCCCTAGTGGTAGATTAACCAGCTTTGCATTAGTTCCTATGGGAACTAATGCTTCAATGTACAAACGCACCTCTACATAACAAAAAAACAGCCAGAACGGATTAATTGGTTTTCAGTCCATTCCTATGGGAAATTTTACTTCAACTTAAGAACGTTTCAACTTGAGAACCACCTTCCAAAACGGATTAAGTTCTTAAGTAGAGACCCCACTGTAATAAAGAAAGTGGGTTATTTTTCCTCTTAATCAATACAGAGAGTCCCATGATATATTTACAAAGATCTGATGTTCTTGAAGGCTTCTAAAAACAGCAATTCTTTTCTTCTTTTTTCATTTTCTTTTTGGCTGAAAAAACAAGCATCTACAGCAGGGCTCACAAAACAGCCTTGGAGTGCTGCGTGTACTCTTGAGGGCCACCCTCCCATTGTAATAATTTAGACATTCAACCAGTATTTATGTTGATACTCATTTTCTTACCCCTCTACCATATACTGATTTCTTGGTTTTCAATTGTTTGTGTGCAGATATTATCATTACCATGGATTTCTTCACAGTTGTCTGGCTATCATTTTTCTCCAAGTCAGAGTAATAAAAAAACAGCAATAGACATGCATGAAGAAGAATTCCAGCCATTGGGAATTGTTCCAAATTTACCTATGGATGACTCAAAAAGCTTTTTCAGTAAGAACATATTTCTTATTACTGTAACTAAAAGAGAATGTAAGAAGGTTAAAATCACAAACCTTTATTTTCTTCCAACTTCTTATGGCATTGCACTTAGCTCACATGTATGCTGTGAATATTTTAGCATAATATATTGTAAAGGACATATCTTTTACATTAGGGATAGGTAGTTTTCTGCCTGCAGACCAGGGCTGTTATTTAGTGGCAGTCCTGACTTCATGATTAGTGAACAGAAAAGGTCCCTCTGCTCATGAAGGGACCTGATCCATGAAGGGACCTTTTATTCATACATGGAAGCTTCATCCATCAACAGAATAAAAGCCTAGGACCTAAGCAAGCATTCTTCTCTACCCAGATGCATATATTACTATCTCTGGTGCCAGACAGGTAACAACTTGTATTATCTTGCTTCACATTCTGTATTAACAAGTGTATACCTGCAACAAAAATTGCTGACACTAAATGGACTACTCCTGTTCAGGAGCATACCTGTCCTAACAAAGGAGGCTTGTAACACAGTTTGGTCTCAAAATATTTCAGGACAGGAAAACTGATATCAGTATTCTTTTCCATCTTTCTGAAATCTCCACTCCCCCATATCATAGTGCATGTGTCTTTATACTGTGCTATTTTATACCATACTGTACTATAGTATGCTATGTTACATCTTAAAGTATATGCCACTATACTAGTCCAAACATAATAACTTCATCTGCTGATTTGTGCTTGGATGGAAGGACATCAAGAAATGCTAACCTCTCCAGATAGGGCTGGGAAAGAATCCTGTCTAAAACCCTTGAGAGCTGCTGCCACTCAGAGTCAAGACTATTATTTTGACTTGTTATAACTTCCTATTTGTCCATACAAATGTATAAAGCTAAAGATCTTAGATTCAAGGCTGATTATTAGAACACTGTGGCCTCAGAGGAAGATATGATAAGCATACCTCTATAATCCACATAAAGACCTTTTTCCCAGCTAACTGGTTATGTTAAATTTCTTTCAGGTTTTGAAAACAAAATATAAGCATATTGTAGAAGTAACACATTCAGCAAAAGGGTTGAATCCCCATTTAATTAATTCACTGGAATATATGGGGTATGAGTTTGAGTCCTATTGGTTTAATGGTCCATTCTAAATATGGATCCAGCTGGAAGTTTTTGCTGTGTAAAGGGTAAGAGTCACAGAAAGGTCCTTATGTTAGGTAGTGTAGAGAAGCCAAATACTACTTTTTTATTTGTATTATTCCTTTGATTTTGCTTTGAAATGCCCAAGACATGTAACAGCCTTTTTCTCTATGTTACCGGGATAGAGGAGTCCAGTTGTCCAAAATCTGACCTGTTGAGACATCTACCCACTCCTAGAATGCGAACTCCAGTTGTGACTGTACCTGTCAATGAAGAACTTGCTGATTCAGATGTTTGCTGCAGTATAATGACCTCTGAGCAAGTCCAGCAGCCTTTAGATCTCTCAGAAGTCACCATCTCTGACAGCCTGAAAACATTAAGGCCTGAGGACAGGATGCATGAAACATTTGTGGCTGACAACGGTATAGGAGACAGACAAGGGGTACCTATACGCAGTGCGTTCCCTAATGTGTCTGAACAAAAGAGACCAAGCAAGTGGCAAAAATACCAAAACACAACTTGCAGTGATTTGAGAACTGAAAATAGCAATGAAGTAGCCATGACTAGTGACATCCGAGCTGAGAGTTTCTTAGGAATGGCACTGGATGACATAGGAGAGAGTTGGGCTCATGCCACTGGTAATAGCCTTCCGGGCTCGGTGCATCTACAGACAAAGGAAAGCATGCTTTGTAAACAGTCACAAAACTTGAGCAGCCAAGATTCTGTTTCAGAAGGAAGGAAACTTTCTCTGCACTTAAATAATAAATTTTGCACTGAGGAAGCACCAAAGGTGTTAGGTCAGTTGAACCGCCACAGCGTGACCAGGCACATTAAGGTATGCAACTGTTCATAAAAGTCTTAGGACTTTCCTGATTATTTAGCAGTTCAGTATTTCATGTAATTATCCGTTAGCTTAGATATGAGATCCTGATCATTCTTCTGATGTTATTTTCACATATTCTTAAAGGTATACTGAGATAGAGTACTGTGTCAATGGGCTTTTAAAAAGCAACAGGTAATTGTAACTTTGTTTGAGATGCTGAGCCAGTTGAGACAACCATATTTCAGCTTATTGAACCCAGATATGCTTAGAGCCCCTTCATTTTTCCCTTTATTGCAAACCAGAAATAAATCAGAAACCTGTCAATTAACCAGAACTTCTTGTGTTGCCTAAACTGGAAAACTAGGGTTTCCAGCTTGGAAGCAAGCAAGGCTAATAAACCATATGTTCACATTTTAATGTTCTGGGCTATGTAAAAGCTGGTAATCACTGATGTATATCTTTTAGTTAACTGATACATATTGATGGTGAGACTGGATAAAATCACTGATCTTGTTGGAAACTCTGGATAAATGTTGTAGCCATTCCTAAGATCTAGCTGCCAGATCTTTTAGTTAACTGATACATATTGATGGCCAGATTGGATAAAATCACTGATCTTGTTGGAATCTCTGGATAAATGTTGTAGTCATTCCTAAGATCTACAGTAGCTGCCATATACACTGGGAGCTAGTTGTAGTCTGTGACAAAGTGCTAAAAAATCTCTTTTGGAATAAATTGTGTGTTATTTAAATCAGTAAACATGAAATAAGATGTTGAATTTTCAAAGGCACTAAACTTCAGGCTCAGTAATGTTAAAGACTGATGTGATATCCCTTCCATGGTGTTGAAGAGGTTTCATGTAACTGAGGTATACTTTCATTTAACATAGCAGGGTGGGTGCAATCTGTGGGTGCAACTAAGATCCCATTCAAAAGTTTTATACAGAGTTAGGTCAGGATGAGTAATGCAAATATGTTATGAATATATACTTTCAGATTAGTTAGAGCCATATGTGTATGACACCTTATAAATACTGTAGATGTTTCAGAAGTGGAGAAGATTTTGTTAATTTTCTGATGAAAGTCTATGGTCACAAATATAAGAGGGACTGACAATGTTGTCTGTGCTCCAGTACTAGGTTAACATTGCACATAACATGTAATGCTTGGCTGTAAAATTGGGGGTGGGGGTGGCAAAGGGATGTGCAGATATAATTTTTACTGTTTTATTTTTCAGAATCCTTCAGAGTTGTTGTTCCCTGGTGCTGAAATGGTAGAATGTGCTACTGTCCCTAAAAGGCAAATACATATTCCAGCTGAATTTCAGTCTCCTGCACATTATAAGCAAGTTTTTACTTCTGCTTTGATCGGTATGCCAAATACTTTTCATTTCGCTGCTGAGTTTGAGATAGAATACATGTGAAACCCTGAACACCTTTCTCAACAACAGCCACAGAGAAAGGAAACCTTTGTGTGCTGTCTGTTATAACTTATGCTGTGATCACATATTCAATTCCATTGTTTGCTTTGCTATTATTTATTTATTTGGTTTATATACCACCCCATTATTATCTTGACAGTCCAAATTATTCCAGGTCAGAGAAACTTATATCATACAAGTATGAGAGGCTTATGACAGGCTGGTCTTATTTTTATTTAAAATCAGCCAAAAGGGGTTCAAAATTATGGTAAAGTAGAGGTGTAGGGGAAATGGATTTCACCCTTTCACTCTGTACAATTGTCCGAATCTAATTGTCCCTTGCAAACCATTGTTAGCTGCAGCTGCAGGGAGGAAAATGTAGGTACTTGTATTTTCCTCCTCCTGTGTTTTACCTTTCCATGAAGATACCTGAACTTCTAGGATGTCCAACTTTTTCTTTCTCTCATCTCTTCCCCCCATATTTACTTTCAACACATTGCCTGATGAAGTGATAGTATTCTTGAAAGCTTGACCTATAAAGATGTGAATTTTGGAATTTGTTATGCGCTAACATGGCTGACCATGTTTTTTTGTTTGAAACTGGAAAAGTGACACCACACAGTTGCTCATCCCTTAGCTGCAAAGCAGTACAAATAAAAATGCCATGAGATCTAGTAATATATAGTTTTTTTCTTGGACAAGAAATAGATGTCCTGAAATTCAATTAAACAATTCATATACAGTATGTGACAGAACAGAAATACAAAGACTGGGAACTCTCTGAGTGCTTTAATGTGCTCTTTGTACTGTCTCTTTTGCAACTCAGTGTCTGAAAATGGAATGCCACATGGATATACCTCAAAACAAGTACTGTCAGATAATATATTTGTGTGATATGCCAGCATTGTCCAGTATTCAAGTTGCAGCTGATTCTCCATTTTGGTGTGGAGATCCAGCCTGCATCAGTCTCACAATCTGGCCTCTAGGTCCTTAAAATTCATTAATTTATAAGAGTAGAATTTTCAGTTCACTACAAAGTTTGGAAATAGTATCTGACAGAAACAAAGAAGGGTGTTGTGGCATAAAGACTGACACTATACATATCCTATGTCAATATACATACTGGCCAAAATCCTGTTGTTTAGCATAGTAAATCACAGAGAGGGCCCATTTGAATCAATGGAACTTATGGAGGAGTTGAATCATTTCATCCCCATTGGATCAATGTGGCTACCCTACTGCAATTTACTGTGCTAAGCAACAGGATTTTAGCAGTTGTGTGATAACATTTCACAGACTGGATCTCATTTCATCAACTGAGAGTTTTTGCTGTGAAATAGAGTAAAATTGTTACTTTTTTGGACATTCTATGGCAAACATTACCAGACTTTTCAGGAGACCTGTTTTTAATAGGAATGTTTTAAAATCAAGTTTGAAGACTATGCTATTTTAGGAATACAGTACACACAACAACCGTCTATGTTATAGTGCAGCCTTTGCCAGTCAAAGTGTCCTCCAGACACTTGGTTCATTTGGCCATGCCAGCCAAGGAAGTGATGAAGATGTATTCCAGTATGTTTACAGGACGCCAAGGATATGTAAACTTTGACTGGACACCGAATATTCCTTCAGCCTATTAGATTACAACTTGCTAAATTTGTTTTGATATCTCTGTTCAACCATTAGTTGTTCCTGGCAGCAGTTTAATAAGAATAGTCTCTTCTATTTCCCTGATATTTAACAAACTGTTATGTTTGTAGGATGCTTCTTTTGTAGTCCGCTTACACAAATCTCCCAATGTTTACATAATCATTTCTCTTTGAATGAAAAGTAAAAAAACAAGAAGAAACTCAATTTTGAAGTAGATTTTCCTTGTTCCTTCAAGTAACGATCTGCAGGTTTATAGTGAAACTTGGTGGTTTGTTAGAACAGAAAAAATGAATTAAGTTTTAATCATTGTTTTTTATTCTTACATAAAGAACATTTAAACATATTACTGTTTGAATTGTCACAAAAACTGCATAAAGCTCTTGAAAAAGTGGATATATCTTTCTATACTTCAATGAAAGGACAAGAGCAAAAGAAATCATCACCACTTTGCAACCACAAAATTCCAACAAAAGTAGTTATGGTCAAAAAAGAAGGTCGAAATAAGGTATGCTTTTGAAGGCTTAATTAAAAGCAATTTTAAGTTGTATTCAATTATGGTGGGTAGTATCCTATTGAACTTTCACTGAGTAGTACATCCTTCCAATGTAGGAATACAGGATATGTTTTCGGTGAAAGCTTTGACAAGGCACAAGAAAGAAGGTTAATTTTCTTTCTGGAGACCAGCACTTGCACAACAACAGCACGTGCGCATGCCACAGCCACTCATGAACAAGTGTCAGTATATCTGACTACTTGCAGATTCTGGTCTGGGTAGGCATACCACAGATTAAATCAACTCTACAAAATAGATAGGTTGACAACACCTGTGTATTAGTCCAACAAGTCAAGCCAGGAGAAACAGGGAGCCAGATGTTTGGGGCCTTGCTTACTACGTGAGCAAGGCCCCAAACCCTGAACTCCTTGCTTGCTTACAGTCCCAAGCAGAAATCAATATTCAGCAGGAGTCAGAAGAGCAAAACAGAAGGGCTGGAATTATTACTGGAAATCTCCCACAACCTTTGGAGAAGGAATTCGTTTTAAACAAAAGATACAAACACCAGAATAAACAGATGGAAGAAAAAGCCAATTCAAAACTCTCTTAAGAACAAAGACAGGGAAAGAAAGCTACCTGCCTAAAGTGTATTATTTAAGAAGTAAAGGTAATCTCCCACAACCTTTGGAGAAGGAATTCATTTTAAAGGGTACAAACACCAGAATAAACAGATAGAAGAAAAAGCCTATTCAGGACTCTCTTAAGAACAAAGACAGGGAAAGAAAGCTACCTGCCTAAAGTGTATTATTTAAGAAGTAAAGGTAGAAGGCAGTAGAAGACAGGAGGGCCTGGCGTGCTCTGGTCCATGGGGTCACGAAGAGTCGGACACGACTAAACGACTAAACACACACACAAAGTTTTAATGTTTTAAATTAGCTGTAAGATTGTCAGTCTATCCTATGTTTAGGAATGCATACAGTTCTTATACCTACCAGTCTGCTGAAATGACAGATTAATTCTGTAAGTAGAGGGTCCACTGTATATTACTTAAGAAATAAAGTTTTAATGTTTTAAATTAGCTCTAGGATTGTCAGTCTATCCTATGTTTAGGAATGCATACAGTTCTTATTATACCTGCCAGTCTGCTGAAATGAAATGAAACAGGGAACTGATCAACATGAAGCGAAAAAACCCAATCGTGATCGTTTTTGCAATCGCAAAAACTTCAACGTAAAGCAGATTCGTTGTTAAATGGGGTAATTGTCCAGCGGGGCATGACTACTGATTACATGTGGTAGATCTCTTTTATAGCAATATGTATTTAATACGGCTTGAATTTTGTTTCAGGGTCGATTTTTCTATGCCTGTGAGGCTCCTAAAGCTGATCGGTGTGATTTTTTTAAGTGGGTAGAAGACGTGCAATCTGGGCAGGTACTACAGTGTAGGCCTAGCGTTGCATTTCATGATGTGAAGAGCATTGGAACCTACCTGAGGGGTCAAAAAATCCCCCTCTATGAAGAATGTCAGCTTTTGATGAGGTGCGTTCGAATGCTGAATAAAGTATAATACAGCTACATATTTTGCGTGGAAGTGGAACTACTGTAAGAACCCAGTCTTATGTTTGAGGAAGTGGACTTCTTCATGAGACAGCTCACATTAAAATATAGCAGTTTGTCTTTAAGGTGCCACAATATTTTTGTCTCTCCCCCCACCCCCATGTATAAGCATGCTTGATGATCTTTCATCACTTACAGTTGGCAGAGAAGAGTTACAGAGAATGGTTACAGTTGGCAGAGAAGAGCAAGTTGCAAAAGGACACTGTTCAGTCTCATATGCAGACTTTTCAAATGCAGTTGCAAAGGCAGCAGTTCTTAACAAATACAGTATGACACTTGAGCTTCAAAACAGGGTTCAAAGATCAAGACACTAGCTGTTTTGCCTCAATTTAACATTTATGTTAACGTGTAGCACAGAGAACAGCTGCATTCAAGAACACATTTGCAAAGCATCTTCATAGCATGAAAACAGTTTTAATCCATTTATATTGATGAATAGTTTAGCAATGCCCTTTTGTTACTTTTCACTTTTAAAACATTTTTGTATTAATAGTTTTATGTGTTACTAGTTCATGCATCTCAGTTTTTCGTAGATCTCTGTGTTAGTCTTAGAGTAAGCTGCCTTGAGTTTTTATGTCATAAATTTTTATTCCTGATACTATCATTTTATCCAGAAAAGCCTTTGACATTCAACGAAGACAATTTGGTAAGCTGAAGAAATGTAATATTGCAAAAACAAACTATGATTGTGAATCAAAAAGCAGATTATATCTTAAATTGAACCGAAAGGAGTCCTCCTCTGTGTACAGCAAAGGTTAGTTAATTCTGTTATTGCTGTAAAACCAGGCAAAATGCATATACTGTAAAGCAATTTGTAGTAAAGAGAAGAAAGTGAATAAAGGAGAAACAGTTCTTGAAAGTGCTTCATTTTGTTGAAGTCTTAATAGATTTAGGCACTTCTAAGAACTGCTCCACTGAGCATTGGTTGCTGTCAGTGCCTTTTCTTTCCTTTTTTATTTTGAAATACACCCATAACCAGGATTTTTCATATGAAATACTCTGTGTTTCCATATTTGCTTCTGCAGGATGTTGATTTGAAGAGGGAAGGATTGCCACTCCTTGTAATCCACAAGCTGATGTATAATTCATATGTGGATTTCTATTTAAAGGTGTTGTAATATGATGAATATCACTTGTTGCTAGTGAAATGAAACTATGTAGCCAATAGTATTTAGTATTTAATTTTTAAAGACTATTTTTTCAGTTGCATGTGGTTTAAAAAGTATTATTCTGTTCTTTTCATAGCATAAAAGATGCAACAGATCTTTATTAACTTCAGGTGTCAACCTAATGTTAATGACCCACAGGCTATGCCTCAGTCTATTTAGGCAGTAGGGAGAGAGACTAAATGTTATTAATTATTGTATTTTATGCTGCTTACATTTCTGGGAATTTTTTAAAGCTCAGATCCACCTCTGGTGGAGGATATACTCAATTGCAACCTTCTATCTGGGATATACCTCTAAAGATTTGGAACCAGATCTTCAGTTCCATCTCTACAGAAAGAAGAAAAGTGAACTTTACTTTTGAAATGCTCTTTTGTTCCCTAGTCTGCTTCTGCCTCAAAGCTGGTTTGGTAGACAATTGTAGTAGAGATAAGCATGAAACACAGTTTGGCCACGTTTGGTGCTGCACCTGCACAGGTGTTATGCAGGTACCACACACTCCCCTCTCCTGCCTTCTCTGTTCACTCACCCATTTCCTGGTCAATGTGTGCTTCCCTTCCTGCCTCCCCAGTGCTACTGCCCATTCATAGATTGCAGCATATGCTTCTCTCCTCCGCTTTCTCCACCAGCCAGCCTCTCAGATGAGGAGGCAGAGCAGGGAAGCACACAGCACAGTCTTTAAATGGGCAGCTGCCAGAGGAGGTAGAGGAGAGAAGCATGCACTGCAATCTGTAGGTAGGCAGTTACACTGGGGAGGTTGGGAGAGAAACATGTGCCACCCAGGGAATAAATGAGTGTGCAGAGGAGGCAGAAGAGGGGAATGTGTGGTGCCCGCATAACACCTATGCATCTGTGGTGCCAAACTTGGCTGAACCACTGAACTGTTGTTTGTGCCCATCTCTAATTTGTAACAAAGTTATACAGGCTGTTTGCATCTACATTTTTAATTCAAAGCTCTGTCATCAATTTTAGAAGCCAAACATCAAAGAATATCACATAGAGTTCTTTTTAATTGGGGGGGGAGCAATACTGCTATGAGGACACATCATAGCAGTAGACTCCACACCCACCCTGCTGTGCATGCCCTCATTTGAATGTCCATAGGGAAAATCCACACCTAGTATTGCTATGAAGATAGTGGAGTAGAAGAGAACCCACCTTGTAGTCCACTTTGAACTTACTGAGAGTAAAGGCAGAATATAAATATTAATAAAAAGATGCTTCTGAAGGGCTCCTTACAGAAATTTAAATGAGCTCATGTTAAATATAAACAACTTCCTGTATCTCACTCTATCTGTGTTAGTCAGCTGCAGAATTCATGGAACATATACTGAAAGCACCCAAAGTCACTTGTTGTCTTCTCTGTCCAGTTGGTCTAGCCATTTTCAAGTGTATGGATCCATACTAAACTAACTGAAGAATTAATATGTCATTATGTTAAAACTCATCCTTTGTTGTTCTGTGGGGAGTTTTTTCGCTTGATTCAGTTAAAAAATATTTGAAAATTAGTTTTCACGTTGCTATGTATTACCCATTATTTTCTATCCAAATCTTCTATTTTCTTGTTTGACTTCTTCAATAAAACAGTTGTGATAGCTTTGCTTTCCATTAGTACAAAATTGAAATATCACGTACAGCATGAATTAAACCTTGTTAGAAAGTTCTGCAACTTGAATAGCAATCTTGAGTATATACAATTAATTAATTAAACATAAGTTTTATAGAATAAACCGAAAAAAAGAAAGAAAAATAATGGGACAAATAACTTCTTTTCTTCCAAGGAGCTATTTCAGATTTCTTTTCATCACTGAGGAAGCTAACAATTTGATGCACCTTACCGAGACCTCTTTACTATGTTGACAGATGATCTTTGGGTTGTTTCCAAGACGCTAACCTTTGAACCCTTGGACACTTTCATTGCATGCAGTGTTTTCTTTGGACCATCCTCTACTAATGAGGTGGAGTTGGAGCCGCTCAAAGGTTACAGCCCTTCAAATTGGTGTTCAAATAGTAAGTTTGTTCTAAAGATTGTTTTTCAGTAAATATCTTAGAACGTATGATTCCAACCGGAGGTTATTTTTTTATTGGATGAGTACTTTTGAGAATAAAAGGTTAAAGTTTTGGATAGGCTAATGTGCTCATTGTTTACCAAAATGTTTTGATGATTTGCCTTCAATAATCTTGTGTATTGAACAGAGAATTACCTGTTATCATATTTTTTGTGTGGTTGCACAGTTTATAAATATCCTGGAACTTCTGTATAATGATCATACATAATTAATTACAGATTCATTTACCATTTGGACTTTTTCTATGATTATTAGTGGGCAGGTTTAATTAGGGTTGTATGGTGTATTGAAAACCCAGTTGGTGGACTGAGGAGCTGAGAAATTTAATGTGCCCTAAGAAAATGGGCAGAATATAAAACATTAGCTGCTGTCATTATGTTCTGTTGTAAATGAAATAAGTTTGTGTGAAAAACTCATGCACACACACACACATACACACACACACATACACAGAGAGAGAGAGAGAGAGAGAGAGAGAAGGATTAGAAAGCAAACTATGATATCTTGAGGGGCCAGATGCTTGGGTGTAAATAGATTTTAATTTCACAGCACAATAAAGGCAACATTGGCACCAATCAGTGTTCCAAAGGCAGGGAGCATTAAAAAAAGTTAATTGATGATTGCAGCAACTCCCCTATAAAAATAAGTGGTTTTTTAGTTTGATGGAAGTTCGTTATAGAGGGTTTATAGAATTAGCATGAATTATGCCTTGTCTAGTTTGGGACTAATTTATTTTGTACAGTTTTCTGTAGTGTATTTGGATTAACTTGTTAACTCCTGTTTCTTATAATGTTTACCCTAGTGATTGTTCATGCATTGTTAGTGTGTAATGCTAGTGCTGAACTCACAACTCTGAGGAATATAGAAGAAAATTTCAGTTCAGCCACTTTACCAATAATGCAGCATCTACTCACAAAGTATGTATTTTTGCTGTTTATATTTCTGTGTAGTTTTTAAGAATATCTATAGACTGTGCCATGCTTTTAGAAGTAGGAACACTGATGTTTTTCTGCATGACGTGAATATTGCAGACTAATATTCCTCTAGGATACAAAAGCCAAGACTATGGAAACAGAAGTGAAATCTCATCAAAAATGTATAATTTGCCCTTGTTCTGTTTTCCAGGTCTTTTAAACTATGGCAATTAAATTACACTGGAATGTATGTTTTTGCAGTATTTATTTATACTCAGATAGATGGAAAACTAAATTAATGGTATATCTAGAATATTGTGATTTTTAAAAAAATTATATAAATAAAATGTTCTTTTGTTTAATATTTTACCCACTCTTTAACTTAAAACGTTCCCAGAGTGTCTTAAAAAGACCAGAAAAAAGGCAATCCCTGTTCCCCCAGGTTTACGGTCAATTTCTGTAGTAAAATTTTCTGCAAAATTGGTCAAAGTCACTTGGTGCTTCATGCTGAAATTTCTGTAATACAGTTTCAACCTACAGAATTTGCTACTGCAGGTTGTGATGTTATTCTTTTTGTAGTTATTTTTAAGAAAAATAAGATTCTCTGATTAATGCAAAGAACTCCACATGCAGTGGGTTGCATGCTCCACTGCCCAAACTGAGGCTGGTAGACATGATCAAATGTTGGTGCATACTGTCTCTCCTTTCAGTCTCTTATGTTGCCCCAGCTTAGTCTAGAGCTTGTGGTATCAGCTCTCTTTTGCCCTTAACCCATTCTTTTCTCTTTTGTCTGTTTTTGCCACTATATTTCCTGCACTTCTTTGTCTATCTTTTGTTTAAAAAGAATCTTTCTTTTCAGTCCTCTTTACTTAGCCTTTTTTCTGCCTCCCTCCTCCACTCTCATGTGTCTGACAAGGAAAAGTGGTGATCTCAAAAATAAAAGAACAAATACGCAGATCAAAACTTGTATTGAAATGACTTAGTTTTCTTGTGCCCAAATGATGCTTCTTGCTTGACTACACAAACAGCCTCTGTAGCTCTCAGATTGGTGCTGTGGCAAAAACTGTTTTCTGCTCATAAAAAGCAAGAATTAATACTGAATGTTAGTATGAAAGTTTTCCAGTTTCAGAGCCGGCAGACCTTGTGCTTGCATTCTTTCAACTGAGAAAAAAAATCAAAAAGATTCACCAAAGGAGGGCAATCAGCAAGTACTGTCACTATTCTGAATTCCTTAGTGACTGCTGCTCCTCATATCTGAAATTTTGAATCATCATCCATATCTGCTTCTCCTACTTGACATGTTGCCTTTAATGCAAATTTCTATTATACACACCAAACATCTTGAACTAGTTATAGGGAAGGAGATGCAGAAATGGAAGACTGTTTAGATTACAAGCCAAATTTGAAATGTGAATCACGAAGAAAGGTCACAATGTATTTTCAAAATGGGAATTGGTATATTTAGTAGCGGAAATAACAATTATTTGAATCTCTTTATTAGAAACCTTTAATATAGATGTAATTTAATTATTCAGCAGTATGATTTTGAATATATATCATGGTACCCTCTTTTGTATTTTTTAGGAATTTCAAAGATGTATCTTCCAGTGATAGAGTCAACAAACAAAAATTTAAACCACCAGCCTTAAATACAACTACAGTAATATCTGGAATTCTGAGTCCAGAAATTATTATGAATCTGGCAAACAAGATGATTGAGACATTTCAGCTGAATAAGGATCAGGCCACAGCATTGATTCAGATAGGTGCCATGATGGCATCACAGAATGTTAATACAGAAGTAGGGAAGCATCACGTCCTTCCTATAACCATAATTCATGGTAAACTATTTTATATGAATTAAATATTTTGGCCAGAATCCTTTTTGGTATTTACATGAATGGAACTGCATCTACAGAAGCTGCCACAGTGACCAGATTAGGTGTCTTTAATGTACCTGATCATGTACAACCAGCACCTTATCGGATTATTAGAATAGAAGCAGTAGAAGAGTAGAAGCATCTTCCACAGTTGGAGGTCTGCACATGCATAAATACTGAACAGCAAACTGGCATTCATTTCTACTGCTGTTCATTCAAGTCCTTATTTTGAGTGGACTATCCTTAAGGACTTGTCCTCCTTCTGTTTGACATTGTTCATCTCTTCTCATTCTCAAAAAATGTTTCTCTAGATAGATTTTTCTCTATATTTATCTTCTGTATATATCTAATCTTTTTAAATGTACTGGACATCCAGAGAAAACAAGGAACAAGTGCAGAAACCCAAAGCTCATCAAAGCTCTTTCAGATTACTAAACTTTGGTTCACTGTGATGAAATTTGACTGTTCTTTCAAGCAAGAACTCAAAATCATAGTCTTTAATCTTCCTCTTTTTAGAAGAGTAGCTACAGGATCTGTTGGGAGATCAATGTCAACAATGCATCAAAGAAGTCTGATTATTATTTGCTGACAGTTTTCTTGATTTGGACAGTTCAGCTCAGCAGAAGATTTCTACCGATTGTGCACAGCATGCCTGTCAAACACAAATGAAATCTGCTGATGGGATCCAAGAGATACTTCCAAGCTTGAAATTCATTCCATTAGTAAAATGTTTGGTATATCTATAAGGGGCTGAAATCTAGATACTGTTGGTTTTGGATTCATGTTGGCCTACTGTCTGCTTTCAATTAAAAGCCTTCTGGAACAGTTGGTTTTGGATTCATGTTGGTCTACTGTCTTCTAATTTTAGTAGTGCTTGGCCACTTTATTGTTTTGCTTCTTAATTGCTTATCATTTTAATATAACTGGGTTGTGCAGCTTTTCATAGTGGAAGGTGCCTCCCAGAAGAATATGAGGATTATAAACACATTTGGGCATTGCTTGTGCAATGACAGCACCTTGTTGGCTGATCCCTGCAATTCAGAGGCACCACCAGATTGCTTTTGACACAAACAAATCCATGACTTTATACATTCGTGCCTTGACTTATGAACTTAATTAAGGTGCCTCCCAGAAGAATATGAGGGTTATAAACACATTTGGGCATTGCTTGTGCAATGACAGCACCTTGTTGGCTGATCCCTGCAATTCAGAGGCACCACCAGATTGCTTCTGACACAAACAAATGCATGACTTTATACATTGGTGCCTTGACTTATGAACTTAATCTGTATTGGAACGGTGGCTGTAAGTCAAAACGTTCATAGCTCAAAGCACCATTTCCCATAGGAATGCATTGGAAACCGATTAATCCATTCCAGCCAAATAAATAAAAAAGAAAAGAAAAGAAAGAAAATACAAGTCCCATGCTGGGACTGCAAAAAAAAAAATCACCAAAAACAAAATAACACTGACCCTCGATCCCCTCCCAACAAAACAAAAACTTTTAAAAAAAGCAGCACCTCAGCCTCCCGGGCTTCCACTGCCGCGGCACCAGGCCCGTGCAAGGGTGCAGGAAGGCCGGGAAGGGGCTGGGAAGGATCCGGGAGGGCAAGGGGGTGGTGGTTTGACCCTCCCGGACCCTTCCCAGCCTTCCTGCACCCCTGGACGGGCCCAAAACCGCCACCCCCTTGTCCTCCCAGACCCTTCCCAGCCTTCCTGCACCCCCACGCGGGGCCACCAGGGCCGAAATCGCCATCCCCGTAGCCCTCCGGGACTCTACCTGGCCTTCCTCCACCACCTTTTCCTAACTGTTGGGGCGAAAGAGCTACCGAGAAACAGCTTCTTTCGCCACCTACAGTTAGAAAGTTGAATTGCCTGCCTTTTCCCCCTGCCATTTTCCGATCGTAGGTCACAGCTCTAGCCGCAAGTCAAAGCAAAATTTTGCAGCCGGAGCCGTCCGTAAGTCAAATTGTTCATAGGTCAGGGTGTTCGTAAGTCAAGGCACCACTGTACATGGCAAGGGATTTATGTGCATTGTTTTTGGCTTATGTTGAGTTTCTCATGTGTCTATCCATTAAAGCTTTGCATTATTTGAAATGAAATCTGATTCTGTTGATAATTTCTGTGTTTCTTTGTTGATCCCCAGGTGTGTTTGGATCTGGAAAAAGCTATTTGCTGGCTGTTGTTATCTTATTCCTGGTTCAGATCTTTGAAACCAGTGAAGCAACTAATGGTAAAATATCAGTGCCATGGAAAGTACTAATTTCCTCTTCTACAAATGTGGCTGTAGACAGAGTGTTGCTGTGGTAAGTAATTTGTTGCAGATTTCTCTCTGTACTGCTTTGCTACAGTAACAGTTGCATTGTTTAACTGTGTTTTAGGCGTAATCCTTTGCTTTTACTGTACTAAGTAACCCAGTGCAACTTGTAGTGCAAAACTGACTTCTCATTTTCTGTTTAGCAGGCAAAGACCTAATTTGGGAAATAAAAAAAAACTTTTTAAATTAATTTACATATTTTCTACACTGTACAATCTAGTAGCGTGCCACTACTCTGGCTGGTTTCCTGCACAAACATAAACATAATGAAATCATATATTCCCCTCCCAATCCCCCAATAATATTAAAAACAATTCAGAGAAGAAACAAGATGGTAACCATGGGCAAACAACAATACTTGTTAAAAAGAAAAAGAAAATCATACAGATAACAATTACAAAGGGAAAATGTCCTGAAATGCCTTTCTGAAACGTTTTACAGGTGTACTAAAATATTTATGAAATGTGAGGGGGTGTACTCACTTCTGTGATATCCTGTATGTGTTTTCTTGAATGTAGGCACCTGGTGCATGTACACAAGCAGAGCATTCCATAAAGAGGCAGCCACCACGAAGAAGGCCTGGCCCCTAGTCATGAACGTCCTGGCCTCCCTCGGGGTGGCTTCCTGCAGCATCAAAGCCTGGAAGGTGCAGATGATATGGGTGGTAGATCTTTGGGAGAGGAACTCTGAGAGGTGCTTAGGTCCCAAATCATTTGGGGCTTTATATGTCAACATAAGTACCTTGAATTTAGCATGGAAGCTTACAGGCAGCCACTTATTACAGTAGAAGGGAGAAATGGACAGAACTGCTGACTATACTTTTTTTAAAAAACTGGCAGAAGTAGGGAAAAAGTTAAGGCAATTTTGAGAGGAGAGATTATGGAGACCATGATGGGAGTGGAAAGCTCCTCCAGAACATCCCAGCAGAGCAGAAAGTTTGACCAGAATTCTTATAGAGGTTTGCAGGTGTCAGAATTGGAATGAAAGTGCAGGGGCAAGAAAATCTGCACAGTGATTTTGTTACTGTCTGTGATGGTGGGTAGTCTTGGTTTATGAGATGCCCAACTTGGCAGTAGTGGCTGTTCCAGCAGCCAACCAGGAATTTCCTAGTGCCTGTGCATCAAGAGAATCACTTTCATAAGGAGGTGCTGGGTGCCTTCTTATGCAGTCTTTTAAAAAAAGTACCACCGATTTCTCATTGTGGGTGCTGGGTGCCTTCTTATGCAGTCTTTTTTAAAAGTACCACCAATTTCTCATTGCACTTTTGCATATGATCTTGGGCATAATCTGTATTTAAAAGTGAAAGAAATCAGTGTGAATCAGCCATTGAACTTTAACCTTCATTCAGAATGACAGCAGTTTTAGCTTGTTTCCAAGAATCAGAGATAACTATCCAAGTTGAGGAAGCCATTGGAAATGTCAGGTGTGATCATATGCAGATAGCAATGGATACATTCCTCGTGTTTTCAGATGTTAGTATCCTAGCCCTGAATCCAGTTGCTAATTCTAGCTTGAGTTGATCCACTGAATTTATTGCTGAATGGTTGTTGTGGGTTTTTCGGGCTCTTTGGCCGTGTTCTGAAAGTTGTTCTTCGTAACGTTTCGCCAGTCTCCGTGGCTGGCATCTTCAGAGGACAGCACTCTGTGGCTCGCATCTTTGGAGTTATTCAGTTATTGCTCAGCTATTCAGACTTATCGCTTCATCTGAGTTATTTCCCAGACAATGGTACAAACCCTGTTTGGTGGGATCTGCCTCTGCAGTGGGAATAATATCACCTGTAGTGCGAATATTTGAAGACATTTTTTGTGATTTTGGAGTGTGTACAGCTTTGGGGTGCAAGCCCTGACATTGCAAATCAGCGGCTATCTCCTACTTCAGATGCCATAATTCCTGTTGCAAAGGTGGAGCTGTGCAACAAGATTTCAGCCTACATTAGGGTTAATTGGCTTTAAATTGTCTTAAACAGTAGAGCTGGAGATCTAAATCAGCCAAAACAAAAGTAAGGTACTGTATTTCTAACTAATCCAGGCTTTCAGGCCTGAGAAATTAGAAGTGGGAAATGGTCAGAGAATAATAGAAGAAACGAATGAAAAACTATAGTCAAAGAACTATATCTGGAGGCAAAAATGTTGAAACTAAGGATGTCCTACTTTGGGTGCATCACAAGAAAACAGGATTCTCTGGAAAAGACAATGTTTGGAAAGATTGAAGGCAACAGGAAAAGAGGAAGACCAAATACAAGATGGATTGACTCCCAAAGGAAGCCACAGGCTCGCATTTGCAAGAGATGAACAAGGTTGTTGAGGACAGGATATTTTGGAGATTGCTTTTTCATACGGTTGTCATGAGGTGGAGGTGACTTGATGGCACATAACAACAATAGAAGAGAACTTGTACCAAATGCCTTCTTGACCACAGTTATCTTGGAAGGGAAATTCAGGCTTCCTTTGTCCCTGACTGGAATTTCTCTCTGAGAACATTTTTAATCAAAGGGAGGACTACCATTGGTACTCATATTTCAACCATAGTTTGGCATCCTTAGAATCTAGTTGTGGGCATTACAGATTTTAAAATGTTGAAAACATGTGGAGATATTAGATGAAATATAGAAGGGCTAAAATTTCTTTCAGTAAATGTTAACTCATGCCTCATTCCCTTTCTCAGTCTCCTAGATCTTGGATTTGAAGAATTCATTAGAGTGGGAAGCATTAGAAAAATTGCGAAGTCCATTCTTCCCCATAGGTAACATGTCTAAAATTTTTAGACAGCCCAGTAGTTCTGTAATATAAAATAGACAACATATCCTATCATATATTGCTATTTGAAAGTGATTAAAATGCAGTGTTTAATGTGAGCCTCAAATAATTGTTCATTCAGATTTAATCATTGTTGAAGTATTTTTTTAATGGATGTGTTTTTTCTGAGAAAAAATGTAAGCAAAATGCCAAGAATATGAATGCATTCTGAGGTTGTGTTTTGTGGTTGGTCTGCTGCTTGGCTACAGGCAATCACAGGTACCCAAATCTGATTGAACTCAGAAGGAATATTTATAAATAAGTATCCTTGTGACAAGAGCTGTATCTATAGGCATTGTGAGTGGTATGAGCCATTTTGAATCCCAGTGGAACTGTGGGGTATAAATTATAAAAAATAAATACTTTGAATGCTGTCCTCAAGGGAGCTTCACTGCTATTTATGACTTTGTGACAGCACAATTTTCTTTTTAAACATCAGCTGAATTTGATTTTATTGTGTGATTTTTTTCAGTGCTTATAAGTCTCTCTGAAAACAACTTCTGGTAGGAAGGGGCCACACAAATACAAGATGGGTTCTGAAATACATTTCCTGTACAAACAACAGTAGATTCTAGTTTAGACTGCATTTTGATGTCCTGGATTTTGATGTGCAGGGTGGTATTTTTAAGGGATTCAAGACAGAGATAGTTAAAGTGCAATCTAAACTCAAAGATTTTCAGGCTGTAGTGTGTTTGGTAGGACACAAGTATCTTGCATCAGCACAACTCTCCTAGTGCGGATTGTTCAGATCTGCTGGTATAACTGATGTTCTCGCTGAGATCAGCCAGTTTAAGAGCCCAAAAAGGTGAAGAAGGGAGGAGTTACTATGTTCTGCCAGACCTAAACCCCTCTCTGTCCGAATTCACAGTCCCTATGCCAACACAATGTTAGGTCCAGGTGCTTATGATTCTGAGTTACAGTGACCCTTTTCAAGAGTTTTCTAAGTACAGTATATATTACTCAGAAGTGGTTTACCATTTCCTTATTTCCTGTGACTGTGCAGCTTGCTCTAGGCTACACAAGTTGGCTTTTCTCCCTAGGGCACAGAATCAAACTCCTGACCTGTGGCTCTCCAGCCAGGTACTCAGGTTCACTGAGCTATCCATCTATAGCCAAAGTAGTCCTAAATAATCTGGGGTGGTCTTGGATTCAGGACAAGCGCAGCTAGTTGAGTGTCAGCTTAGTGAGCTCTCAGCCATCTGAGGTAGTTAGAATTGTGCATGTAATTTCTTACCATTGGCGTGTTTTGCTCTGAAGATTCTCATCTGCACATGGGGATTTGCTTGGGGGACTTTTCCTTAGAGATCTGCACTCCAGCACTCTAAAATGAAAGACCTTCTGTACAGATCTTTTGCATTTTTGTAATCTGTTATTGTTTCTCGTTGACTATTATTCTGCCCAATATGTTTAAAGCTTGCATGCTGGCTCAGGATCTGAAAATGAACAAGTGAAAGAGTTGCTTGCTCTGATGAAGGAAGACTTGACCCCAGCAGAAAAAGTCTATGTAAGAAAGACTATTGAACACCATAAACTAGGCACCAACAAAGCTCTGCTGCAACAGGTACTGGCCAAGTGAAATAAAATGTTTGACAAGTGTTGTAGATTACTATACAATTGGATATTGGACTATGTCAATGTAAAAAAATATTATAAGGAAATAGTACACTAAACATAAACTCTAGATGCAAAAATAATTGTCACAGACTGTTCTTCCAAAATATACCTCAGCTATTAATGCTGTAATATAGACTATCCCTGCTTCTGATGTGCAAATAGGTAAAGTGGACTGAGGTGAATTATTTTGGGTGTTTTGAAAAACAATTTAATCCATCTTCATGACATAATTTCAGAGTGCACTTTCCCTTGAATTGAATGGATCTGAGTGGCACAGTTTTCTGCCAGGGTAGAGTATTAACATACTGAATTTAGAAAATATCAGTCGTATTTCCATAATGCAACTTGCTGCGGGAGGAGGGGAGCAAGGACTGTGAGACAATATCATAAAGTAATTAGGTCTTCATTTGCTTAAAGAACTTAGAAGACGAGCTTGGTGCCAATGCATCAAGCTAGGCATTATTTACATCTTAACTACCATATTTTTCGGTGTATAAGACACCCCTATGTATAAGATCCCCACCCCACTTTTCTAATCCAAAATTAAGAAATCTAAATGGGGCTTAGCAAGTGTAGGGCGAAGGGGATCAAAGCGCTGCAGGATCGCTTTGATCCATGCTTTCCCCTCCGCTTGTTTTTGTTCTCTCCTCAGCTTACTTCCGTGTATAAGGCAACCCTCAATATTTAGTCTAAAGATTTCAGACAAAAGTATAGTCTTATACACGGAAAATACGGTATTCTACAATTCTTTCACGGTTTTTGTTTAAATGAATTTCAAGTTCAGTGGAAAATTAGATCCAGAACTAAAGGGAAGGGTGACTTTAACCTAGCTCTTGCTACAATCCTAGTCCCAGACTATATCATGATTGTTCCTTTGATTTGTCTCCGGACTATAGTGGTAGTAAACGGCTAAAACACCGCCCATGTCCCACAGTTTTTAACATGTCCCATACTGTCTATTTGATTTTAAACAGTCAAATAAAAGCAAAGCAAAAGCAAAGCGTGCTGCTTATATACCGCCCCATAGCGCTTGAAGCACTCTCTGGGTGGTTTACAATTTAATTATGCAGGCTACACATTGCCCCCCCCCCCAGCAAGCTGGGTACTCATTTTATTGACCTCGGAAGGATAGAAGGCTGAGTCAACCTTGAGCCGGCTACCTGGGATTTAAACCCCAGGTCGTGAGCACAGTTTTAGCTGCCGTACAGCGATTTAACCACTGCGCCACGAGGACTAATACATAAGTATTTTCATATCTGGTTCAGCCAAAGATGAGTGTGTGTGCAACTACAGTGATACAAGCTTATTGTTAAAGAAAAGAGCTATGTTAATGAGGTGAGAGTCTACTACTAGGAATAGGTATAACATGAGATTTCTATTCTGTACCAAGTTTTTAAAAAATCATGACGTAATTGCACATGTACACAAAAACTCTACTAATCAGACCATATTTTGCATTTTTATTCCTATTTACATTGTTTCCTCTAGAAACAGTGCCCATAGCTGAAGCAGACTGTGTATCCTCACTTATTGTCCTCACCAGTCTTCCTGACTGGAGGGACAAATCCTTTACGGGCTTAGCAAGTGTAGGGGGAAAGGGATCCCCTACACCATTTTTTGCATTTTTATTCCCATTTACATTGTTTCATCTAGAAACAGTGCCCATAGCTGAAGCAGACTGTGTATCCTCACTTATTGTCCTCACCAGTCTTCCTGACTGGAGGGACAAATCCTTTACTCATTCATTTTTTTCTCTGTGTTACAGCTTTCTCATGGGGCCAGCAAAATAGCAATTACGTTCCTAGTTCCTAGAAAACTCTGTCAGAAATTGATCTCTGTTTTTTAAGTCACCCTGCCATTTCTCCAGGGCCAAGCATTTTAACTTTGGGGGAGGGGGAAGCATAGTTAGAAGTTTGGGGAAATAATTTTTCAAGTATCATTTGTAATTTATTTAAGTATTAACACTGTGAACTTGGATTGCAGAGTTTATGGATATAAGAAAGTTATCCATGTGACTTTGGAAGTAAATACCGTATTTTTCGCACCATAAGACGCACTTTTCCCCCACAAAACGGGGGTGGAAAGTCTGTGCGTCTTATGGAGCGAAGAAAACAGATTATATTTTCCTGTTTTCTTCTCCTTAAAAATTGGTGCGTCTTATGGAAAGGTGCGTCTTATGGAGCGAAAAATACGGTAGATGGTTCTGTTTTCTCCTTGATGACACAGGTGAGAGTCGTAGGAGCTACCTGTGCTGCATGCCCATTCCCGTGCATGAAAAATCTTAAATTTCCCATAGTGATTCTGGATGAGTGCAGCCAAATGACAGAACCTGCATCTCTCCTTCCTATTGCAAGGTATACTCTCTTTTCATATCCCATCTAGCCTGTTGTTAAATTGCTTGTCCATGATTATATTGGTTTATGGATTTATGCGGTACATTAAACTGTTTTTCTAAGTATGCAGTCCAAAGGTAATCTGTTAGAACTAACTACAGTGGGGTCTCTACTTAAGAACGTCCCTACTTAAGAACAATCCAACTTAAGAACAGCTCCATTTGCTAAATTTTGCTTCTACTTGAGAACAGAAATCCAAGATAAGAACAGGAAAAAAAACCTTTCCTGCTCTTTTTTTAACCTTAGGTCATCTTAGGTTAAAAAAAATTCTCCCCCTAGTGGTAGAGTACGTATTAACCAGCTTTGCATTAGTTCCTATGGGAACTAATGCTTCAATGTACGAACGCACCTCTACATAACAAAAAAACAGCCAGAACGGATTAATTGGTTTTCAGTCCATTCCTATGGGAAATTTTGCTTCAACTTAAGAACGTTTCAACTTAAGAACACCATTCCAAAACGGATTAAGTTCTTAAGTAGAGGTTCCACTGTAGTTTCTATGGACGGAAAAGAGCAGATACGGATTAAATGGTTTTCAATGCATTCCTATGGGAAATGCAGATTCAACATAAGAACTTTTCAACTTGAGAACCAGCTTCCAATACGGATTAAGTTCTTAAGTAGAGACCCCACTGTAGAAATACCTTGTTGTTCCTTTTAACATGACTCATTGCTTGGCTTTTAAATTAATACCTCAGAGATATGCTGTTTAATTTTCTAGTTTCATCCTTCATTTGGGATGCTTTGTACATGAATCCTTGAAGTGCCCTGGAATCAATTTGGATGAACAGCAGCATAAAAATATTTTCAATATTTTATTTATTTATTTATTTATTCAATTTATATGCCGCCCAAACTACCCAGAGGTCTCTGGGTAGTTTAAATAATAAATAAAAGTTTAAATAATATGTTGTTATTTAAACTTTTTTGACTAAATATATGTGATTTATATGCAATCATGTGTATGGAATCATGTGTATAGCACTGTAATAAACAAACAAACAAACAAACAAAGTCCCCTCGAGTTGAGAGCCATTAACACTTGTCTCTGAGTGGGATATACTGTGTCTCTTGAACATTCGCGAGCGTTTCAGAAATTTGAAAGCCATTAACACTTGTCTCTGAGTGGGATATACTGTATCTCTGGAACATTTGCCAGCGTTTCAGAAATTTGTCCTCATATTCTTGAAAAGTATTTTAGGGATACTTTTCAAGATACTTCTTGAAGATTCTGAGGGATACACAGAATTCAGGAATGGGGTTCTTTTCATTGTTTTTCTTACTTTCCTTGTTTAAAAAAAGAAGAGGAGAAGATTTCTTGCCCCAACTGCCATTTTAACTCCTTGTGACATCATTATCCACTTACCTTGCTTGAATCAGGGTTAGTCTTTGGGTATGGGTGTGAAATGACTTATTTAGTTCTGTCAGGGACTATAGGTGCTTGCTGTTTGCCCTGGTTATTCCCTTTGCCAGATGCACCTTCTTAAATGTCCTGTTGGTACCTGCCAGAGCCACTAAATGAAATATGAGAAGAACCAGGTGTTGAACACTTAGATACACTTTGATTTGAAGAATCCACTACACACTTAACACCCTTCTTTGATGGCTTTATTTCCAGCTTCACTTGTTATAGTATCACTCGTTTCTGCTGGAGATTTTTTAAGCTTCACGTTCATGAAACCTCTATGCTTTCATCTTAATATGATGTGTCCCTATATACTATTGTGATTTTTTTTCTGCATTATATTAACCATCTTTGTTAACAATTTTGCATGTTGGCAGATCTACAGTATTTTTGCTTATTATGGCTTCTATAACACATGTATCTATCAGGTTCTCGAGGAAGAAGAATGTATGCATGGAATTTTTGAGAAATTATATTGTGTTATTAGTGTTGGTATTTTATTTTTGTACATTTATGTTCATAATTATTCCACCATACCACCCTGAACACCCTGGGCTTGGTTTGTACTTGAATGGAAGTCTCCCAGGTAGTAACATAAGGAATGCTAGGGGGAAAAATACTCCCTGAAACCCTGGAAAGCCAATGTTTGTCAGAGTTGACTATCTATCTATCTATCTATCTATCTATCTATCTATCTATCTATCTATCTATCTATCTATCTATCTATCTATCTATCTATCTATCTATCTATCTATCTATCTATCTAATCTATCTAATCTATCTAATCTATCTGATTTATATCCCCACCCCATTAGTGGCATGCACTATCCTGGGTGTTTATAGAAGTTAAAACAAATAATAACAATGTATTAAATGAGCAGTTAAAAACAACAAAAACTTCAGGAGGCATAAATTATAAGAGTAAAACACAGAATGCGAGGCAAATAGACAACTATCAGACAGGAAAAACAAAAAAAAAATGTGCAAGACAAACTGATGATCTACCTCAGTATAAGGTAGCTCCATATATACAGACTACAGTGGTGCCTCGCTAGACGATGATAATCCATTCCACTGAAATCGCTGTTTAACGAAATCATTGTCTAATGAAAAGCATTTCCCCATTGGAATGCATTGAAACCTATTTAATGTGTTCCAGTGGGGAAGAATTGTCGTTGTCTAGCGAAGATCGGCCATAGGAAAGCCGCTTTGCGAACTGCCAATCAGCTGTTTAAATCACTGTCTTGCGACAACTTGATGGCACATAACTACTGCAACAAAGTATACAATTGCAGCCTAACTTTCTTATCTGACAGTAAGTGGGCAAGTCGGGGTAACTGTCTAGTGAGGCACCACTGTATAAAGTTCTCCAAGAAAATTAAAATGAAGAAATAAGTACCGGTATTGTCTTATTAAACTTGTCTGGTTTTAAAAAAAATACTGAAAGCTCAAATTTGTATCATTTTGTAGCAAGTATTGTTCACTATTTTTCTGGTTTTAGAACAAGCCAGAATGTATAATATATTAGTTGCCTTAAGAATCTCCGAGCTAAAGGCAGTATGTGTTGATTTAAAATAAAATAATGTAAAATGGCCAGAAATTTGTGTTACATTTGTAGGTTTGGATGTGAAAAGCTGATTCTAGTTGGAGACTCAAAGCAACTGCCACCCACGATTCAAGGATCTGAAAGTACACACAGTCATGGTCTGGAGCAAACCCTCTTTGATAGACTAGGTTTGATGGTATGTAATATATATCCCAAAAAAGGTGTTGCATCTCTGATGCTACATGTATTATATGGTAGCATTTTACCTTCAGAATTTTATGTCTCAATCTTTTTGTAGACACATTTCTTGTTATTTCTTTTAACAACATATATAAATAAAGATTTCTTAGAACTTTTTACTATCTGCTGTTTGCTACCATAAATTCACTTTGCAATTTCCTAAGAAAATATGCATGTAAAAATACAATGTCAAAAGTAGTTAGGTGATTCTGTGGAAAAATCTCACAAGTAAAATACTCGATTCCTGTTACCATCTGCTTAAGGATCCTCCCATAAAAATACAGTAAATGTCAATTGTCTGTTCCAATATGTTGTGTTTAGAGCATAGGAATGTATAATTTGACTCCAGTGGGGGGATTTTAATCTGCTAAGATTCCTTCCTTACAGAATTTGAAGTATAAATGCAGCATCATGTGAGTCTGCTTCTTCCCTTGGTTTGCACACTAGGTGTTTGAAAATATGATTTGTTTAAGGGCTAATTCTTTTTAAGTGGGGAGACATTTGACTGAAATCTCTTGGATATAGAAAATCATGGGCTTTTTGGAGGATAGATGTGGTATATATAAAAATACAAATCACAATATTGAGCGTATGGAAGAAAGTAACTTTTTCATGGGCTTTTTGGAGGATAGATGTGGTATACATAATAATACAAATCACAATATTGAGCGTATGAAAGAAAGTTTTCTTATTTAGCATGTAGTTTTTTTGAAGATTCCTGATGCTCTTCTTGTTCCAGATTCTCCTGAATTCACAATGTATGACTACAGATCTGACACAGGAAGATTAATCTGAATTTACTCACTCAAATGTGTCAAATGTGTAATATAATTGTAAGAACTTAAAGTAGCTGATGGTTCTCATATATGGTATGAAAACCCTTTCATTTATTTAAGTGATCTTATTTTCTCCTTGCTCATTCATAGGGACATGAGCCAATATTGCTTAGGACACAGTATCGTTGTCATCCTGCTATCTCTGCCATAGCCAGTGACCTATTTTATGAGGGGAAATTGTTGAATGGCATTTCTGAAATGGATCGCACTCCTCTGATGGAGTGGTTACCAACACTTTGTTTTTATAATGTTAATGGCTTAGAGCAGGTATGTATTATTACTAACTTTTGTAACTGTTAATGTTAAATTCTATTCTGCATGTACTTGATGCCAGTCTGAGGCAGACAATTTCAGATTAAGGCAGGCTGAGCAAAGTGCAGCCTGCCCCCAAGATTGTATGCAGTTCCCATATCCCAAAACAAAAGTATCTCAAAACAAAAGGTTTGGGGCTATAAAGATGGCCATAGAAACATTTTATTTAAAATGGCTCGACTTGTGTGGGGGAGGGTCTCTACAGCATACAGCATTTCAAAATCATTCAAATGCATGTGTTTCAGTATCTCAGTGACAACCACATCATAAGTATACTGTGACAATTAGAGCAAAGTTATCATGTTTCTATATTCCCAAAAGCTGTTTAGATAACTTCTCATTGGCTTTTTTGAGTTGCATAGTTTGAAATATATTTTTTGTTTTCTAGATGGAAAGAGACAATAGTTTCCATAATATGGCAGAAGCTTCCTTCTCTGTTAAGCTAATTGAAGCTCTGATTGCAAGTGGAGCAGAGGGATCTATGATTGGGGTGATAACCCTCTATAAGTCACAAATGAGCAAGGTACATTTGGCACCTCGGACTATGTTCTATAGGAAGTTTAATTTCTCCTGAACCTTTCCCTCTCATTTCAAATGAATAAGTCTTTCATAGATAACTTGTTCTGCCCCACACCCACACTCTCCCCCAGCATGGTTCTAGACCATCTAGATGGTTCTAGACCATCTCTATGTTTTATTTTACTCAAGGGAAGTGCTCGAAGGCAAGGCATTGTCATCCAGTCATCTTGCCTCTTTTCCTTCCTTTGCCCCAGAAGCATTAAAAGACAAACAGGAAGGCTGAAGACAGCTAATAATTGTCTTTGCAACTGGCATTCTGTTGTGCTTTGATACAAAATATGTGTGGGACATCACACTTGCACTCATATTTGTGTCTCAGCAAGCTCCGAGTGTAGTCATTTTGGCATATAGAAGCTTTTTTGTCATTGTGCTCACATCAGTTTTTCAAATTTCCAGAAATGCCCAGAAACTCAGAAAGTTTGAAACGTGTGTCCTAACTATAAATCTCAGTATATTTTAAAATAATTTAATTCACCCTCTTCTGTTACAAAGAGATAATAGCCAAAATCCTGCTGAATATTTATACTGGCTTTGCTATAATTGCACAAGTTGTGTCAGTAAATTGCTGCTAATCAAAGAGTTGCTGTTCACATCCCTGATCATGTGCCAGTTACATCACTTTACATACAACCAGGAATGCAAGCAGTAGCTCGCTAATTAGAGGCAGTTTGCTGCCACAGTGTGTGTGGTTATATTCACACCAGAATAAATCTCCAGTCAGATACTGGTCAGTAATTTCTGATGACTAATTGGTATGCAGAAAAGTTATATTTAAGTAGGATGGTGGTATGTCTCAGTGTTGGAGTCATTATTTCTCCATAACAGGAAAACATCATGGCAATACAGACATTATGTGGGAGAATTAATATGTGTTGGTTGATATTTGTGTTTTTCAGGTTTGTCTTTTATGAGTAAGTTCAGATTAGATACTTCACAGACAATATTAAGCACATAAATGATGATAATTTCATTTAAAGTAATGATTTTTAATGCTATAAAATATGACTGTCCAAATTTGTTTCTGTCTTCAGATTTGTAACTTACTTGGTGCTATAAACTCAGACACTTTCCAAATTAAAGCTGTCCAGGTGTCCACTGTGGATGCTTTTCAAGGGGCAGAAAAGGAAATCATTATATTATCTTGTGTAAGGACAAAACAAGTTGGCTTCATTGATTCAGAAAAGCGAATGAACGTGGCACTGACAAGAGGAAAGAGACATTTATTGATAGTGGGAAATCTGAACTGTTTAAGAAAGAACAAATTATGGGGAAGTGTCATTCAGCATTGTTCAGGTAAGGTAGAGTATTTTGATGTAACCAGTTATGTCTGTACAGTTCCTCTGCATAAAAATTCACCTTCTCACTTACTTTGTGCTTTTAGCTACATATTTTATAGCTACATATATATCACTATGGTGTTGTACATCTATATACAGTATTGTTAACTGTTTTACTGTCAGTATGCATAGTACAACAGTCCTTCTTTCATCTACTTATTTCGATTCTTATCCTAGGCAATGTGTAAGTAAAGAGCACCACTTAGAAAAGTACTGTCCCTGTAACTACTTGGTCTCTCTGTCATGAATTCCTCTTCCAGACAATAACCCCCTGTTTATTTTTAATTGGCCTGCACAATTGGGAGAAAACCTACATGTTTGGAATGATGAACCATGCAACTGAATATAGGCTCCAAATAAATCTTCACAACTGACGTACTAGTTTGGGACTAAAGTGGATGTGATGTGTGAGATTCATAACTCTAAGGCCCTGAATTAGGTTGTTACTGCAATATGTGTATGTTGTTGGGAGGTTAAGAACCCTTTCCTCGGTGTGTCTTTTTTCCTGTTTAAATTTCTAGTCACCATGTTTGTACCTGTAGTTTTTGGCAGTCAGTTTAGACACAGAAACAGCCTCACATACAGGCTATTAAGATACTTTAAAAATCTGTGACTGGCAGACAGATTTCCTGATGTCTCATGCAGTTGTATCCTGAGTCTGAGGAGTATTGGGTGACATTTTGCTTTTCATCTCTGCCTGCCTGCTTTCATATTAGAGGTAGGACAGATCGTAGCTACCCGGATTCCTTTGGGTACAAGAGCTCCTGGACTGAATATAAGAATAATAATGTGCCATCAAGTCAATCTTGACATATGTCAGATTTTTCAGGTTTTTCTAGGTAGAGGGTATTCAGGAGTGGTTTACCATTCCCTTCTTCTGGAACCATCCCAAGACTGTGCAGCTTGCCAAAGGTCACACAGGCTGGCTGTACTTGGCAGTGGGGAATTGAACTCCCAACTTCTGGCTCCACACCCAGATACCTAAACCACTGAACTTGAATAAGCATATGTTTGTAGCATTCTTTGGGTCTCTCTCTGCCTGTTGTATCTCTGGGAGGTCCTAGTTTTTGCAAACTATCTCTTGTCATGTCAGAAAGACCTAATAGATATGCAGAGATAAGAGTCTTTGAGTGGACCCTCTACTTAAGGAATTAATCCGTATTGGAATGGTGGCTGCAAGTCGAAAAGTCTGTAAGTCGAATCTCCATTGACCTACAATGAACTGAAAACCGATTAATCCCATAACCAGTGGTTTTTATTCTATTTTTATTCCATTTTGGTTTTTTTCTGGTCTGTAAGTCGATTCTCTGGCTGCAAGTCGAATCTAAATTTTGCAGCCAGAGAAGTCTGTAACTCGAAAAGTCTGTAAGTCGAGCCGTCTGTAAGTCGAGGGTCCACTGTATCACCAAGTCTAAACACCCATGTCTTTGCATGTTTTTAACTTGTGATCTGAATTTCTGTGAAAAGACTGGTTCTTCGTAGTGGTCTCTGTGAATGCACACAAATGGGTTAATCCTGCGCCACAAGGAGGAGACAGTGCTATAAGAGAGGCGCTCTCCATAGCTAGAGACAGTCTTTTTGTAAAAGAAAGATCAAAGTCTTTGGCGCCTTAACTTGATCACTTGCTTAGAAAGAACTTTGCAGGCAATGCAAGACTGATCAAGATGTGATTCTCCCAAACAAAACAAGCATTTATCTTGTCCGTCTGATAAGGGGATTTTTCGGGAGCAGACGGCACATTGCTTGAAGCCCTGAGGGGCCATAAACAAAAGAAAAAAGGGGGATCTGTTGATTTGGGGGGAACGCGAGAGAACGAAAATATAACTATAAAATACAACAAGTTCTGTCAAACAACCGAGAAAATAAGAAAATAAAAGAATAACAAAGGCTAGCTAATGCTAGAACACTTAACGGTTGGTAGCTCTGCTCTTCCTACGTCCTACAGGAACGGTGGAAAAAGAGGAACTGAAAGGAAGATGGAGGAGGTGGGGCTTATATACCCCGTCGGGGTGTGTGTGAGCTAATTGACTCTTTTTTCTTAAGCTCTAAAGCAGTGGTGTCCAACCTTAGCCCTCCAGATGTTCTTAGACTACAGCTCCCAGAAACCTTCACCACCTCTGCTGGCCAGGATTTCTGGGAGTTGAAGTCCAAGAACATCTGGAGGGCCAAGGTTGGACACCACTGCTCTAGAATCTTCCAGATGTCCTGCGCAGGCACAGGATTAACCCATATGTGTGAATTCACAGAGTACCACTAGAAGAACCAAAGTTACAGGTAAGTAACCGAACTATTTTTATTGTTTTAAGTTAAAAAAAAATTTTTTTGCACATCTTGTTCAGTTTTGAACTATTTTTCCTTTTAAAGATTCCTGTTCCCTTTCAGAGACTGTCTTATTTTCAAATCAGATTTTAACAGGCAGGCATACAAGGCATCTATTTAGGAAATAAATCTAAATCTTCATTGGTTGTGCAGACCGGTGGCTAGCATTTTTTTTAATGCAGGCAGGTGTATGCTGAGAATTAATATTTAAAATGAAGACTGACGTTTTAGTATATAATTGTACTGTCTTACTTCTAGAAAGAAAAAATGGATTGCAGCATGTTGGTGAATGTGAGCAGCTACTGAGTGATATTATTAAATCTTGTTTACAAAGGAAGAAGGAAGAAGAAATAAACCGACCCAAGGTCTAAAAAATCAACAATTTTCACAGAAAATGAATGGATACACATGTGCTTTTTCTATGTGGAACATGTAAAATACCTTGAATACCATCAGAATATAGTTGTTGCTTTTTAAAATCCCGCCAGTATTCCAGTTACATTTATTAAAAGGTTAGTAAAGTGTTTCCATATAATTAGGGCATGGTAAACAGGATACCACCAATAGTGACTGAGCCTTCCTTTTCAACATGCATTTTTATTATAGTTATTTTTACTATACTGGTGTCTTAATTACTTTAAAGCAAAATAAAGATATTTTTTTAAAAAAACTCAATTTGATTGTGTATTTTTCAGTCAAATGTTTAGATATATGTATATTTTGAATTGTAGCTGACAAAGGGTTATATTTTTATATATGTGTTTTTGTAAAAAAATTAAAAAGTGCTGATTTTTAAAAAGTTTGCTTTCTAAGCATATTGGCTAATTTGAGTATTTTATATACACTGCTGATCATTAAAGAATATATGCATAATCATAACTATTTTTTTGAAACACTCAAATCGTGGGGGGACAGTTAATACATGAGGTCAGTAACTTTTTTTTTGGTAATTGTAACTACTACTAAAACTTCAGATATCTATTGTTTAGCTATCTGAAATAAAAACAGTGATCTCTGTCAGTTCTCAAGAACAATTTTGACAGTGCATGCCTAATGAGTTTCTAGCTTTATCCTAGCCATGCTTTGTGTAAGTAATATCATTTCTGCAAACTTCTCAATCCTGAAAATTTTTCCTTAGTGTGTATAGAGCACAATTTCTTGCTTCAGTTTCTGTTTTAAGCTTTTGATTCTATTGATAAGATAAATGTAGAATATGCCTGCCTATAGCTTCTGTCTGTAACCATAACAGTCAAATTGGATCTCTAAAACTACCCACATTGCTATGGTGCAAATCTACTGTGAGCAAGGGGCTTATTCATCTGATACATGATTTATAAGCATGAAATGCCAGTAATGTTTGGGGTTCTTACATAATTTAAAGCATACTTGTTTGGAATTAGGGTTCAATTAAATTGAAAGTATTCTATGGCTTTTATAAACAATGCTTACATTAGGTTTTTCCATTTCTCACATACATAAGACACATGCAAATGCTAGACTGATGAAGGTTTTTTAAAAATCTGCATAGATTACTAATCAAATGATGGATAGGCATACAAAGCCCCTGTAGTTTTGTAACCTTCCACCCCACCCCCCAAATTATGCATCCTTTACTTCTAGTTTATTGTCCTAAAATGAGAGGTACATAAAGCTACTATGTAGATGCAACCAACTGTTACAGTTTTAGGTGGCTAATTGTAACTGTGCAAATTGCCACTTTATCTAGAGGTGGGAATTCTTGTTCTGTCTGATTACAATTCCATCATACTGGCTAGTTCTCATGGGACGTGTAGTATGACAACCTTTGGAGGGCTACAGGTCTTCCTCTGCTGCTCTAAATTTTAGATGAGTTGTGTTTTCACTTGTAGATAAACCCAGAGAAAAATGAGTTTGAAAAACCTCTGTTGTTTCTCTCCTCACGGGAAAGAGAAATTTTGTAGCATTTGAGAGGCAGTACTCATTGGGAAAACAGTGTTGAAGAGAAATCCCCTTCTTCTAGTTCCATAGTTCCACTGCAAATTGCAGTTAAACTATTTTGCTCTTAACTTATATCACAATCATCTTTCCGATTGCTGTGTAAATGTATTATCCCTTTAAAAAAAAAAAAAGATTTTATATCTATCAGAATATGCGACAGGAAATGCTAATACAGGGGCTTCACATTTCAAAATGTCTTTGAACATTGGTTTTCAATTTTAAATATATATTAAATACATGAATATTAAAATCCTACTTAAAATAAAAATTGTCCAATAGGTGGTGCCAGTGTACTCTCTGCCACTCATGTGCCAGTAAAAGACCTAGCAAGAGCATCTTAACTTTTTTCAAGTGAAGAAAGAACATTTTCAGAACCTCACAATTATTCAGATGTGATGCAAGTCTGTTGCCAACAGACTTTGAAGCTGTGACCAAGAAAACAAAACTTTATTGCACACTAAACTTTGCAGGCTATTTGTATTTCTAGTGTAACAGCAAGCTTCACTATCATATTTTGGTCATTTTTAAAGGATTTGTTTTAGCTCAAGCTGTTGCTTAAAGCCATTAATAAGCAAAGTGTGGAAGAAGAAGAAATAGTCAAGGGATGAATAGCATCTTTTAAATTACTTGTGACACCCCTGTTCCAGCTCCCTAAAATCTCAATCAACAATCCATTAGAACTCAACAGGAGTAAAACTAAATCCTCGTTTAAGTGTATTTATCCGATCGCCTTTCTCTCTTTCAAATGCTAAGTCGATTTCAGCATATGCCCCTTCTTTCTCTCGCCTTTCTCTAAAGGCTGGCAGCCTATACTTCTCTTGTAAATATGAAAGATGCTAATCATATGACATATCACGTCTCAGTCGGAGCTTGGAATAAAGCCTTGAGATTTGGGATCATTGCCTCCAGACAACAGCTTCATCAGCCGGAAAGTTGGGTTTTTTTTTCTCCTTTCCTTCAACTCTCAATCCCTTCTTTGTCTGAAGGAAAATGCAGCCAACTCAAGCTTCCCTGGCCATATGGTTCACTCTGTATTTTCTTAGTTGAATTCTGAATTGTTTCTGTGACTTGCTAAGGGATTTTCCCCCTCTTATTTGGAAGTATGTATAAAGATGTAGAAGAACTATCTGTGCCAGGACAGCTTTGCTGAAGGTGCTGCATGATTTTTATGTATTAATTTAAGTCTTTGCAGCTATATTTTATTTATACCAGTTTCTGCTGCTGAGTGCCATTTGATGGTAAGCCCTATTAATATTTCTACTATCTTCCGGAGGTGTTTAAATCAGTGTTAGGAACTCTGATGTACAGAAATTTCTTTGATAAGAGCCTGTCACTTTCCCCGCCACCCCGCCTTACTCTTTTTCTCTAGTTGTGTGTTTCTCCTTTCTTGTGCCCCCTCCTTCCCCAAAGGCCCTTTCAACAAATCATTAAATTCTACAGAGGTGGTCAAGCCAGGCCTGCTTTTCATGCATTTGGGAAAAGAAAAGAGTCCTTGAAGTTTAGAAGATGCCCAAGGAAAACTCCTTGAATGACATCAAAAGAATGGGTTTCCATAGCTGTTGAAGCACGAGAGCCGTGTAAGCTGCACAAAGGCGGGTTGGGGCAGTGGGACTGTCCCGCTGCTCTATCCCAGCACAATTGGGTCACTGAAATAGGGAATTAATTACCATTGGAGAGTGGGCAACCCATTCACCACTGCCTGAGTTTTATTAAACGCCAATATAAATAACAAAACAACTCTTGTGGCTGCACTATTCCTACACGCCAAAGGAAGGATTAGCTTGAGGATTAACATCTTAAAGTCTATGAGACTTTCTGACTCAAGGCTCGGAGCTGGTAATCGTATTTGTCTCCTGGTTCAGCGATTAGTGCTCTCTCACTCCCACCTTCGCCTGCCTGCTCAATGTCCCTTTTTGCAGGCTCGTCTCTTTGGGCTTCTGCTGCTTCTCTTCTCACAATCGGCTGTTCTTTTGGCCACATCTATAGAGAAAGAGGGGGGGGGAGAGAGAGAGAGAAACTGCATCTTCGTCATGCAGTCCTTCAGTTTCTGGGAAAGCAGGGGGGGGAAGCTTATAGGCTAGAGAAGGGGAAAAGGCTGCCGCCCTAAAAAAGAGGGAGGGAGAGGAGGGCTGGAATTTAAAATCACTATGTGGAGGCCTGCACCTGCCATGCAAATGGGAAAACAAAACAATCAGAGAACCACAACATGGGGTGGGGGGAGTAGCTACAAGCCAGAGATGCCTCCAGGCTGCATGGGTATAGGCATCTCCTGGTGAGACCCCAAAAGGGGCACCCATCTGTCAAGCTGTTTCTCTGCTAAGAAAAGTAAGAAATTGCTTTGCCCTCTGGAGCTCTGTTGAAGATATGTCTCTGCTTTGGCTACTTCCTTCCACTTCATACACTTTTTGAGTGCCAAGACAGTGTAAAAATAGCTATGTCGTTACTAACTTGAACCAGGTACTGTATTTTTTTTTAAATCAAAGCATTCAGCAGGGTAACCTGTGTGTGTACTCTTTTTTTTAATGTGGGACAGAGGTTTGCCTGTGTTATTCGCCCAGTTATAAAGAAAGAAACATGGATTTGAAGACTGGTTCTATGGATGCCTGTGCTGAAGTGAGCCCTTTATTATTCCAGATGCAAGTGGATGCAATAAAAATAATTATGATAAATAATAAAAGTATCTCCTTGCTTCTTGAACATGCAAAGTAGATAGGACTACAGGAAGGTGTTTCTTTTGTGTGCAAGTAGTGCTTCTATGTATTTTTTTAAAAAAAACTGGAAATTTTTGAAGGCATTTGCACTTTCATTCCTAAAGATAGATGTTGGAATACAGCTTCCAGAACTAGCATAGCTGGCTGGAGGATTCTGTACATGACAACCCAACTAGAAGACACAAAGTTCAGGGAAGGCTGGTATGGACATTGTACTCGGCTATCTATGATGATCATAAAACGGGAAAATACTGTTAGATGAGGAAAAGGTGTCTCTGGCCCTTTCCTTTGCTGGGACACAGCCTTCATTCTTTTTCTCCCCCAGAGACCTGCAAAATGGATTAAGCCTACCGAGTGAGGGCCTCTTCAAGGCCACCCAGTAAGCTTCATTGCTGAGCAAGCACTGGTTTACCTTCATCCTTCCTAACGCTCTTCTTCCTAATTTTCTTTGTTCGATAGCCAGAGGATAAACCTCATTTCACACTTAGATTTACCTTGTCTCCACTTGGAACCTAGAGAAAAATTTCCTCTAGATCGTATTGACTAAGCAGCTTTGGGTTCATTCAAGTACTCAAGATTGCAAATACGGTAGCATCTCTTAACATAACCTTTTCAGAGTAATAGGAAATCTTTCTTATCTCATAGATATGACCTGATAATGCTAGTCCTGTCAGATATTGATGATGTCTGCACATCTTTATGAACATATAACATCCCATGAGAAAGATATGCACTCTTCCTTTTCATGGAAAGACAAGGATCATCCCATTTCTGTACACATAAAATCAATATTGTTGAGCGGCGCCTATATATTCCCATAGACAGAAGATCAGCCCCAACACAGACTAGCAATAATGTCCCACCTTGATCACCCCATATGTGAATACATGACATTCTCTAAGACTAATTGTTTGCAAGTATATACTTCACTACATCTACTTAATATAGCTACAG